TTAACTTGACGAAACAGATTTGATAAAATAATTCAGTAACAATTAGAATGTTCCTCCTCCCCCCCGCAGACTCGAAATAAAAACCAACACCTGTTCAAGGAGATACACTTAACGGAGCATTCCATTTCTTTCACAAGGTTGCTATCTTTGTCACTGCTGTTTGCTGTCTCCTTCATGAAAAAAGTTGCTCGCCGCAAGGTCTGAAGAAACTACTCAACTCCACTCAGTCTCCTTGGAATGCCACACAGATTGATGCTGCAAGAGGTTCTGTTTTGCAAAGAATCAAGCGTCAACCATCTAATGACGACTGTTGTGTGAAGAAGACGCTTATCCACAATAACCGGGTCACATATCAGTGTCAAAGCGAGCATCCTGATTGTTTTAGTAAATCTGATCCTGGTAGCAAGTTGTTTGGGCAGTGTGAAACTGTGAGAGACGGTAGAAAAAATGTGATTGCTTGTCGATGCGCCGGTAAAAAGTAACTGGAAAAGTTTCTTGATTTGTGTGTTAAAGTGCTATGATTTATTTTTTTATATAAACAGATCAATATTATTTCTGGCAGCCGAAATTACAATCAAGTATTTAAAATGATTCAAACATAAAGGTATTATTAATTGAGTGGCGTTAAGACATTACTGTTGCAGAGTGTTTAAGGATTGTGAAATAAAGAGTTGAAATAAACTTCAAAGTCTACTGTAAGTGCAAAATAGCTAAATGCGTCTTGGTACCATAATGAATACCTTATTAAACAGTCCTTAATTTTGAAAAGTTGCCAATAAAATCACAACCATATCACAAACCGGGATGATTCCAAATTGAGTTAAACTGAACGAAGAATAGTTTGCCGTTAATTCCCCAATTGTACTTAAATTTTGCAATTTTTCTCTTTTTTCGCCATTGCTCAGATAAGAATAATACAATTATTAACCATCTTGGTCATTTTCTTTCTAAGAGGACTTGGAGCAACTGTTTTAAAAAACTAACCCAATTAAAATATTTTCCAATCTTTCCTTCATTTCATGTCCTCTTCATCAGGAAGTGAGTACTAAATGCAACAGAAACATGATTTCCAAAACATACAAATAGATAGGGATATAAAATTGTAAAAAAAGTAGCCTTTGCAGCTTTCATTTGCAATTGAATGAGCAATCCCAGTCTTTTATACCCCAAAGTAGACGGTTTTCATGAGGAATGCTAATTGCTCATCACAGATCACGTGAAATCTTCAAAAGGCTGAATGCTTTCTTTGTAAAGGTTTGAAGAATGAATTTAAGTATGTGTGTAATCACTTTTCACATTAATAAGTCGGGCTATCAAGTAACGTCATATGATCTTTATTGGGATACCCAAACCTCTTAAAGATACAGTCATTCATAGGACTGAAAGCCAATCAAAATATTTTCCGGAATGAAAACAAGGAAAGGAAATGTTTGCGGCATTTAATTTGCTGAAACAACTGGAATATGCGCTCATGCCCTCAATCGTCAACAGGATCAGTGCAACTTCCGATAAAAATGATGGTGTACTTAAAAGGTCAGTCGGTTAGAATCATTGTTGATACTCAACCGGAAGACGTCAAACAAGATCAAAATTTATTTATTTAGCCTAATAAAAAGTTTTTTCTCAAATGAAGTTGAAATTCTCTGAAAAATTTCGAGGTCAACCCCTCTGATTTCTGTGATGCACTTACAGGCTATATTATACGTTGCTTACATAAGCCGGTAGTTTCTTACGGGAATTAACTTGGAACGGGTCACTCTTTTTTGAAACCCAAGAGCAGTTTCACTATCATTTACATATGTCTATAAATATTTTTCGCTAATTTAGATAACGAAAGACACGTGTAAACAAATAATTTTAATGTGATTAAATCAAGCAAAAGGAACGAGAGAAGAAAGCTTAAAGGAAAACTGACTCCTGTAATATTTACTCTATAGAGATCACTCATTGTCATCAATGGTGCAGAATTGTAAATCAAATTATTCCGATGCAGAGAAGGCAATAATACAGAGGCTAAATAGCCTCTTTTCTTTTTTTTTTTAAGGCGATTATTAAGAACTTCCCATGATAAAGATTTTAATGAAACAAAGGTCAGTTAGGGTTACTATCTCGTTTTTGACCAGCGCATCGACAAGCAACTACATCATTTTGACTGTTCCGCACAGTTTCGCACATCCCAAAATACGGGCTTCTGGGATCTGATTTACTGAAACAATCAGGATGCTCGCTGCGACACTGAGTCTTGATTTTTCAATTTGCACTATCTTCTTCTTGACACAGCAGTCATCTTCACGGTAATTTTGAGGCGGCTCAGCATATCTTCCAGATGGAGAGTTTGGCTTAGGAGAACGTGCCCGAATTGATTGGTGGGCGTCTCTGGTGATCACTTTGTCCACGCTCAATTGTTGGCAAAATGCTCCAATGCACGTCAAAAGGATGAAAACCACAATTCCCTGTTGGAAAAAGTTAATACCAAAACGGAATCACCCAATGATTTCAAATCGGTGCTCTTCGTTACTAAAATAAATATCAATGCATTTTTCCCATTTTCTCACTGCCTATTTTAACGTAGACTTCACTCTGAATTTAATCGCATTTCGCATGTCTTCTCTCTAAAACTGAGTTGACTAACTTTGGAGTGAATAAAGGGGTAAGTTTCTAAAGAAACTGTGGTGCTGTGTCGGTGGGAGAGTATAGCAGGTAATTTAGTGTTAACAACTGGGTTGAAAACGTAAATTAGCCACCGTAAAGGGTAAAAAAGCTGACGTTTCGAGCGTTAGCCCTAACGCTCGAAACGTCAGCTTTTTTAAACTTTACGGTGGCTAATTTACGTTTTCAACCCAGTTGTTAACACTAAATTACCTGCTAACTTTGGAGTGCTTTGTTATGACAAAAAACAATTGAATATTAAACTGTACATTATAATTAATTATTATGTTCAGTTTTTTTTAAATTTAACTTTCACTTTATTTGAAAGCTGAAAGGCTAATGACACTTAAAGCAGTCTATCCTGTGAAATCCTTAGTAAATAAGTGATCAGCATTCTATGATCAACACTGTTTCTCTCAATTTACGGGGGTGGGCTGAAGTAGGACAAATAGTGTAGCGCTGAAATTGTTTTGAAATCGAGAAATCTAATATAATAATCAAATTATTTTGCAGTCTAGCAAGTCTAGCACTCCACTACCAATTTAAAGCTCCTTTTTTTTTAAATTGAAGTCATTATCTTATAGATTATAATTGATTCCCGTGTTAGCTTTCTTTTTTTTCTTTTCTTTTTGCTAAAACTACTTCCTTTCAAATATTATTTTGGTCTGTTGAAGCATGACTGTGATATGTAAGCCTTAAGGATGATGTTGTAATTTCTTTAGCAATCCGTAAATGCATATTTCAGACAAATCAGTTTATTGTGGCACACTGTACGAAAAGCAAATTTGTTTCTGAAGACAATGTTGTTTCAATAAACTACAACCAGTTCTACCTAAACTCAATAGTGTAAACAGAAAATTAAAGGGCATGTTAAGGTATCATTCAGTGGTATAAGCTGTTTATTTTTAAACCTTCTTTATATTCATGAGTGCGGAACCGGAAGGTAAAAGAGGACCACGCTTGGTAACAAAGAAGAGAAAAGTAGCTATGAATATCTGTTATAGTTATTCTCTTATAACACACATATTTCCTAAAACGTCATACCATCTATTAATGAATGAAGATGAATTTGAATGAAAATGATTTTTCTCTCTTTGGATCTTTTCCGTCAGCAGTGAAGCCCACAACTAAATTCATTATCAATGAAAGGCCCTTTTTGTTGCGTTATTTTATTTTGTTAACTTCTTGGGATTGAATTAAACTTATAGATGAATAAACAGGTACATAAATAAACAACTAAACAAACAAAGGACCATGATTCATTAGCTTGACAGAGATTGTTTTCGTAAAATCTCATATTGTTCAATGGATTAGTTGTATCAAATCATTCTACATGCGTTCTTGGTGTAATAGATCTAGAGAAGATGAAAACCTTAACAACTCTTTATAAGTGGCTTACGAGGGAGTTTCTTCAGATCGGAAATCTTGTCACTCATCCAATTTGTTGATAGATGTTGCATTAAAAACTTTTTTTTTTTAAAGCTATTCTTCACCCTCGTGAACAGAAATATACTTTGTTACCGGCAAAGGGGAAGATGACTGAACTAAGAAAATTTCATGACCCGAAATTTAGCAAGTGAATGGGAATCAACCTATAACTCTATGACGTAATAGGAGACCTTTTTCCCTTGTAGTGCTTCTATGCTCTTCCAGGTTGTGGATGTGAGAAAGGGGAGGCCCCAAGGTGTTACATGTTCTCTACAACGATTGTTAGTATGTTCACGTCAAACCGTTACTCGGACTTTGAATAAAAATATCCTTTCTCCGTTCAGACCAAAATGATAAAAACGATCTGTAAATCTCATTATGTCTTGTAATGGTGCAACTTGATGAATATAGGAAAATTTCCCTTTATAAGAATAGCCTTTCTCTGTTTCCCTTTTTATGTTAAAAGTATAAAAGGTATGCACTTTTGAGATGCCCATCAAACTCAGAAAAACCGAGAAGTACCTTTATCAACAGTGCAGCAATCCTATTTAGAACCAAAATGATTAAGGTAAGTTGAATTTCGAATTCAAACTTCTAAACACCCCTTTACTACTTGAGTGATAATTCATATTCTTTGATCAGCAAAATGCCTCAAATTTTTCTTACTAGAGTTACTTTTCACCCACACGTAATTAACCTGAAGAACTATAATTTTTGCAGAGGAATTCGATGACATTCCAACCCATATGTTTTCAAAAATCCTTGAAAAAAACTTTGGAAAATATCAAGCAATGAAAAAGATTCTCCCGTAAAGAAAATTTGAAAGTGTTACAGAACATCCTGAATGGAGAGCGCGGTAAAGCTTTAAATTAAAATCGATAAGGAAAAACCAAAACTTCAACCCAATTTTCCTTTGCTTTCAGAAGACTGTCATCTTTGCCTTTATAGTTTTCTGTTTTCTTCACGGAACAACCTGTTGGCCGCAAGGTCTGAATAAGGAAGTCACCAATTCCATCCAGTTCCCTCGGAATATGACAGAGACCAAAAGTTTTATTTCTCAACGAGTCAAGCGTCAAGTCTCTAGTGATGCTTGTTGTGTGAAGAAGACGCTTATCCACAATGGACGAATCACCTATCAGTGTCAAAGTGAGCACCCTGATTGTTTCGCTATATCTGATCCCGGAAGCAAGTTATTTGGGCAGTGTGAAACTGTGAGGAACAGTAAGAAAGTTGTAATTGCTTGTCGATGCGCCGCTAGAATATAGCCGGCTGAGAAAGTTATACATATTTCTATAGAAATGTAATTGAATTTTTTTCCCCTACGATTGAGATAAATCATATTAAAGTACTGTAAAAATGCCAATAAAAAGAATTGTTAGGAAAATAAGAATAAAATGAGATCATGAGAAAAAAAAAGACTTCAAAGACTCATTGCTGTGTCGATTACTTGTTCATTGTCCATAATTATGTTTGAACTCTTATGGAAGAAATCAAAGCCTCATGAAAGTCTGAGATAATTATGAGTTAAGATGAACTGAACAGCGTGCGCAATTCATCAGTGTTCTCTTTTTCTTTAAATTTTTTTGGGGCGATATTCCTCTTTTACTACAACTAACGATATATATAAGTTCACCATGCTTTACAACAGAACAGAACACAGTCAAGGCTTTCTTTATTTGTTAAATAAAATTTTAGGTAAGCATAGATAACTGGGTTGCAAGATTTCTGACTCGGTAAGCTCTGGATTCCAATATGTAGAATCTTTCAGGGTTTTGCCAGCCGTCTGTCAAGCCAAGAATGCAAGTATTATATAAATTTCAAGCTAAGCGCCTCGGCTAAGCACTGAGTGAGTAAGTGAGTGAGACAGAAAGTGTGAGGGTGAGCGAATGAACGAGTGACTGTTCTTATACCGAGAGGCCGCTCGCTTTGTTGTTAAAATTTTCCAAAAATAGTAAATCCAACATAGTGTCCGTTGCACTAATATAAGACACAATGTCACTCCTTCTGATTTTATACTGACAACGTCTTCCGTGCAAAATAAATATCTCACGAAAACATGCCAACAATCGTTATATAAAACCTGGTTTCTTCTCCTACTGCGAAATAAAAAGATAAATTTAGGCCGAAGTGGAAAATGCTTTAAGAAAGCAAACGAGACTATATAAAATTATGAATGTTACATTACGAATTGATTTCCAAGCGCTGGCCAAGCTATATGAAGAAGCACGTTCTTCTTCTTTGATTTGACTTCCACTTTACTTAGAAGCTGAAAAGCTAATAATAACAAAATCAGTCTATCCGGTAAAATCTTCAGCACAAGACGTGATCTCTAAAGACCAGTAGGCTGAAACATGGGAGGAAAAAATTATGTCTTTTTTTCTGTTTAAGTCGGACATATTGAGTGGCGGATATCACTGGTATAAATTTTACTAAATTTGAAACTCTCACGTTATATCTCAAAAATGCTTTTTTTTCTCACATCTGACTCCACTTTACTTATCCGACGTGCCTATCTTGTAATTTTTATGCTACGTGCATTCTCGGTTCAATAGAGCGGGTAAAATTTTTTAGCTACTATATACACTGAATTCCAGAGCTCGTCAATTCGGAAATCTTGCGACTCATGCTTGCATTTCGTTAAATGATATTATGAAATGGAAGATGTTGCAGCTAATACACCATAGCTCTATCGAAATGTACATCCCCATACTACGTCAATCTAATTAATGCGACTTTTGTTCTGCTAATAAGTATTGAAAAAACCTAGCCATTTAAGTTACTTTAGTATTGTAAGCAGTGATCGTTCTTTGATTAAATTGTAAGTAATGTTATCATCGAAAATAACAGTATTATTGTAAAAAAACTTGTGGTTTTGAAAAACAGAGAAACTTTACCTTGTTGATAGTCATAAAGATTTATTTTGTTTTACGGGAACTCTTACCGACCGGAAAGGCTGTTTGTTGGTATATTCTGTTTTTTAACTGTTTAGTAAAGGAAAATACAAACAATGAAACTTGAATTCAAAACGAAAACTGAATTTGGTATACGTGTATGATAACGTATATCAACCGATGAAATGGCCGCTTTTGATTAAACTTTCTCTAGGAACTGAATTACCCTGGATTTATTCCTTTACAAGTTTCATGTTTGGGTCAGGAAAAGACCCAGTATTAACTTGCTTTCCGTGACGTTCTGTAACGATTGTCAACTAATTTACGTCAAAAATGTACCCTGATTTTGTTAAGAATAACGTTTGTTTAACCGGACGTCAAGTTTTTACTAAGTGGGGGACTTCTTGTCTCACTATGGTGCCATGGATGGGATAATAGTTCCCTGATTTGATGATGAAGTATATAAGGGCCACCTTTTTGGACAAGAACATCATTTCATACTGACGCTTTAAAGAGAAGAAGTATTTTTGCTGTACGTGGAATAATTCTGAACCGCACTAAAATGAATAACAAGGTAAGGTGTACTGAAGTTAGACTCCAAGATGTCATGTCGCCCTTGAACTTATTTCAGAGTTTGAAAAAAATGCTATGATTATTACAACGTTTATAATGTCAGTTATTCTGATTTCAGTTCGTGTAGCTGAGATGTTTTGAGGTGCCTTTTTTTTTCCTTTAAACTGCTTTCTTATTGTATTTTTTAAGTGAAGCAAGTATACAGAAAGTATGGTTATAAGTAAGTAAAAATACTCCCACAGCCAAGAAATATTTTAACATTTTAAGTAAATTCAATGGCGAAACAGTACCGATGAACCCCTACGGTTCCGTTTAAATGCTTCAATCCTCCAAAACTCGAGATAAAAATCGAGTTTGAAGAGAACTACAAATTCTTAACCGAGCATTTCCTTGTTTTCAGAAGACTCTCATCTTTACCTTCGCTGTTTTCTGTTTTCTGTACGAAGCAACTTGTTGGCCGCAAGTTCTGAATGACGAAGTTACCAACTACTCCCAGCCCTCTTGGAATACGACAGAAACAAAAACTACAGGAAGATCTATATTGCAACGCCTCAGGCGTCAAGTCTCTTTTGATTCCTGTTGTGTGAAGAAGAGGCTTGTCTACAATGGACGAATTACTTATCAGTGTCGGAGCGAGCATCCTGATTGTTTTAGTAAATCTGACCCTACTAGTCCACTATTTGGGCTGTGTGAAACTGTGAGAAACAACAAGAAAGTTGTGATTTCTTGTCGGTGCGCCGCTAGAATATAGCTAAGAAAATGATCAGATTTTTATTGAAATTTGACATTTCTCTCCTTGAACTAGAAACTTGTCTTTATGAGTGTAATTGCCCTAAATGTGCCAAAGAACTGTTTTGAAAATAAAATCAAACACGAGAAACTCCAGTCTCAGTTCATTGTCAAATAGTGAGGTCATCTCATTTTAAGGAAGTTCGTCAATATATTTTCCTTAAGTTTGAGTTCCTTAAGGCAAAATCAATGCCGTTGAACAACCAAAAAATGGAAAATCAAGTTGAACTTACAAGTACACATGATTTGCCATGAATTCTTCTTTTAACAGTTCTTTGATTTCCCTCTCTTAACTACTTAATGGACAATATACTTATGATTATTGCGCTAATGTTTAAAACTTCCTGAAATTGCGAGACATGTCAGACATATCCTTTTCAGGTAAATTAAGACTACGTTCATCTGCAGTCATGCCCGTATTAAGATTGTTATCAGTAATATTCTGACAGAGTTAAATTTTGCTGTGTGTTGCAGGAAAACTGTAACAATAGTGAATCTATGTACGTAAGTATTTTAAACTAAAAATACTTACGTACATACGACCACTGTTTTAAGCTAAAACTGTGGCCCCAAATATTTTTCTCACCTTGCGCAAAAAAATTTCAAATTTTCACAACTTCGCAGTTCCTGTTCGTATGTCCGGCCAAGCCTTCATGGTCATTGGCTTCCCGATAGCCGCTAACTATGGCTTATAGATACAGGCGTTTAGTGTTAACTTGTAAAATTCCCTGAAGAAGTCTACGACAGTTAGATGAAACGCGTAAGAGAAAAGAAGTTGTATAACTACTGTTCATAAAGAGTGCTGCTCACTAGTCTAGTTTTAGAAAATTACAACCGCCAAATTCGATTTAAGTAGTAAGTATAAACTGTAACTGTGCTAAACTATGAACACGCGCAAATATCTTAGAACAAATTATTATGTTGCGAGTGCAGTTCTTGTGACTCAAGTGGCTTCAAAATGAATGAGAAAAGGAAGCAGTCCCTCATCAAGAAATCGATCAAGAACCTAACGCGGTGCGTCAAAACTTGGGGTAAATGATGGATCGTCTATACCGACGCATTTATCAATTAACATGGTTTCATGACCACGACACGGAATCGAAAAAGACGCAAGGTTTTGAAGTGTTTACGGTGAACCTATTTCACCGTTTTCCCGGTGCCTCCCATGCAATCTGATTGTTTAAGCAAGTGCTGCTCTCCGTGGTGGTTCATCATGTTTACTCTTCGCCAACCAGCCAATTTGTTCCAAAACGTAACCATTTTCAAAGCGATCCGGTCTCGCCGAACGGCGAACAGAACCGAGTCGTTTTGGAAATCCTCCACGTTTGATAACGTTTTCAAAACGAGTCCGTTTCAGTAGTGGTCACGATAGGCGCTGTGTAAACGAAAGGCATAACGTCATCGAAAGCTATGCGGTTACAAATGAACCCTGTCTGTAAAAACAGTGCCCAAGGTATGCCCTCTCTACTTAGCCACTTCCGCTTGGTCCAATTACCTTTGTACCTTCTCATTCACTGGGAAAAAAGGATTGCTTGTATTATAACCAGTAACATCAAGTTTTTATGATACCTTACTCAGAGGGTAGATCACGTAATTTATAAACTCAGTTTCAAGACACACGGATATTAAAGATTTCAAGAACATTATAAGGCATTACTCATCAAAATATCTAAGCTAAAAAAGTGATAGAAAACGACTGAAGACTCAGTGGAACAACGCAGACCTTAAGCTTAGTACACAAAAGAGGAAGACGAAAGGTTTAACATGAGACTAAAAATAACGAAATCAGAGAAAGATAAATTTTTTTTTCCTTCAGGGCATGTCACTTATCAGATCTATCCTCTTATGTGCCTTAATGCCATCAATCCATCGTATTTTGTTAAAAAAAAACAACACTTTGTCACCGAATACTGAAAATGCATATTTGCTACAAGGATGCGTATTTGCCACGAATACGTTTTCCTAAATAAATCGTGAAAAAAGTACTGAATTGAATTATACGAAAATGGAGGCAGTTCTTCTTTAAAAGCGCAAAACGTATGGAAAATTATTTTGTTAAAAGGAAAGAAAGGAGTTTCATAAGGAAAAAGGATTCCTTCATCTTCAAAAAATATTCAACTTTAAGGCTGAGTTTACCGTAGCCTAAGACAGGATTTTGTTCAAAAATTGACTTGGGAAAGAATAGAAAAAAAATTATTTTAGAGGGCTTGGGTGGAAACTATTTTTTCGTACATGACCTTCGTAATCTGCAGAATTCGAAAATTTATTGTTTTTTGAGGTCTTTGTACCTACGACTGAGTATTTGCTATACGTTTATCTGATAAAACGCGCGCTATTACCTTTACAATGCTCGACATTCTCTTCAGTTGAGTGTTGCCGTTAAAAAGAAAGTGTAAATTTGTGTAAATTTGTCAGAAAGTGACGGAGTAAGTGAGAAATTAAATAAGTCATCGAGTAAGTTGGTGAAGGAGAATGTTAGTGAAAGAGTATGAGTAAACGAGCAAATGACTGAGTGGGTAAGAGAGTGAGAGAGTTAGCGAGGGCTGAGAATGCTTCGCTGCTCATAAAAAATGAAAGATGTTATATTCTACCCTTTGCGCTATTGTTAAACATCGTGTTATTCATTTTTTACCTAATACAAACATCTTATTTTGGACAAAAATAGCCTATTATCATCAATTTAGGGTATAACCGTTTGCCTTAAACGAGCGTCGTTTAAGGCAACGGTTATACCCTGTCGGTTATATCCTATTCAGACCTAGGGTCTGAATGGGGTTAGCCGACAAGCTACAAAGGGCGAAAAGTACAACTGACTCCTGACAAAAAGCAAAAAGAAAGAAATCCGGAATCCGATTAGCGACAAGGAAATATTAACAGATAACCAAAATTGTTCAACAATATCAATATTTGTACACAGATATTCTGTTCATTTTCAGAACAGAGTGCGGTACTCGAGCTCACGAATTAATTAAAGGATATGAATAAGTAACTTGCATTAACTAAGATTTACCGACTACCGACAGAGATAGCAAATTTAACCAACCACCGACAAAGAAAAAAATTCTAACCGACAACCGACATGAGGACCCCTCCCTCCCTCTCTCCCCATTCAGAAATTCGGAAACATTTCATCTCATCCAAACTTTCGTAAATTGTTATTTTAAAATGGCAGATTTTAATGACCAATACATCATAATCGTGTACAGGAACATACATATACATCCGCCATGTAATAAGCCCTCTATTAATCATTTTGTTAGTTTTGTATACAATTTTCGCAATATAAGAATTAGTATTGAAAGCTGTGAATATTTTACAAGTAACACTGATAATGAAGTTGTTAATGTCGAAAAGGCTTCATCTAGCTCCTTTTAACTTAAAAACTATTATAATGTTTGTAAGAAATATTTTATCGCAGTTTTTTTTTGAGTTAAATGTTAGTACCGTACGTCTAAATAATGGTGTTTAAGTAGACAATTTGTGGTTTTCAGTTAAAAAAAAGAAAGTTATTTTAAAGTTATTTCTCCTACGGAACTGTATCTGACTGGAAGGTTTCTTTTTATTCTATTTTGCTTTTCGGCTGTTTCGTGACGGGAAATTCACACAAAAGAAATCGACTGAAAGACGACATTTTGGGCAAGTTTACAAGTATACAAATCAATCGATAACATACAGTCATGACGCAGCTAAAATTTTGTCTTTGTTTAGAACAAACCTCGTTTTAGCCTTTTGCAAGTTGCATATTTAGGGAAGTGGGGAGTCCCCAAGTCTTAAATGCTCACTGTAACGATCTTATTGCCGGCTTATTTCAGTCAAACCATTACAAATCTTTTTGATAAGAATAGCTTCTCTTTGTTTGGATGATGTTTATATATGATCAATGAAATTAGATGTCTACAATGGATAGAAAAACTATATAAGGGAACAGCTTCTAGGAGAGGTACATCATCTCATACCGCAGTGAAATCAGAAGGATCTTTACTGTCCTTGGATTAATCAAGTTCAGAATAGGACCAAAATGCTTACTAAGGTACGATGTGTTGAAAATAGACTCTAGAATTTCAAGACTCTCTTATGAAGCAGGTGATAAGTCAAGTTCAAAGCACAGATGCTACCTGCTTTAGTTATTCTTACTGCAGTGAGTTTAATTACACATTATTTCTCTGAACAGGTGAATGATTTCTTTCAAAATATCTTAAGCGCTTTCATGCGGACATTTTGTGAGTGAGGCCAGTGAAAAGAAGTGTGATAAGTCCTTCCACAAAAACATCTTTAACTTGACGAAACAGATTTGATAAAATAATTCAGTAACAATTAGAATGTTCCTCCTCCCCCCCGCAGACTCGAAATAAAAACCAACACCTGTTCAAGGAGATACACTTAACGGAGCATTCCATTTCTTTCACAAGGTTGCTATCTTTGTCACTGCTGTTTGCTGTCTCCTTCATGAAAAAAGTTGCTCGCCGCAAGGTCTGAAGGATAAACTACTCAACTCTACCCAGTCTCCTTGGAATGCCACACAGATTGATGCTGCAAGAGGTTCTGTTTTGCAAAGAATCAAGCGTCAACCATCTAATGACGACTGTTGTGTGAAGAAGACGCTTATCCACAATAACCGGGTCACATATCAGTGTCAAAGCGAGCATCCTGATTGTTTTAGTAAATCTGATCCTGGTAGCAAGTTGTTTGGGCAGTGTGAAACTGTGAGAGACGGTAGAAAAAATGTGATTGCTTGTCGATGCGCCGGTAAAAAGTAACTGGAAAAGTTTCTTGATTTGTGTGTAAACGTGCTATGATTTATTTTTTTATATAAACAGATCAATATTATTTCTGGCAGCCGAAATTACAATCAAGTATTTAAAATGATTCAAACTTAAAGGTATTATTAAATGAGTGGCGTTAAGACATTACTGTTGCAGAGTGTTTAAGGATTGTGAAATAAAGAGTTGAAATAAACTTCAAAGTCTACTGTAAGTGCAAAATAGCTAAATGCGTCTTGGTACCATAATGAATACCTTATTAAACAGTCCTTAATTTTGAAAAGTTGCCAATAAAATCACAACCATATCACAAACCGGGATGATTCCAAATTGAGTTAAACTGAACGAAGAACAGTTTGCCGTTAATTCCCCATTTGTACTTAAATTTTGCGACTTTTCTCTTTTTTCGCCATTGCTCAGATAAGAATAATACAATTATTAACCATCTTGGTCATTTTCTTTCTAAGAGGACTTGGAGCAACTGTTTAAAAACTAAACCCAATTAAAATATTTTCCAATCCGGCTTTCCTTCATTTCACGTCCTCTTCATCAGGAAGTGAGTACTAAATGCAACAGAAACATGATTTCCCAAACATACAAATAGATAGGGATATAAAATTGTAAAAAGTAGCCTTTGCAGCTTTCATTTGCAATTGAATGAGCAATCCCAGTCTTTTTATACCCCAAAGTAGACGGTTTTCATGAGGAATGCTAATTGCTCATCACAGATCACGTGAAATCTTCAAAAGGCTGAATGCTTTCTTTGTAAAGGTTTGAAGAATGAATTTAAGTATGTGTGTAATCAATTTTCACATTAATAAGTCGGGCTATCAAGTAACGTCATATGATCTTTATTGGGATACCCAAACCTCTTAAAGATACAGTCATTCATAGGACTGAAAGCCAATCACAATATTTTCCGGAATGAAAACAAGGAAAGGAAATGTTTGCGGCATTTAATTTGCTGAAACAACTGGAATATGCGCTCATGCCCTCAATCGTCAACAGGATCAGTGCAACTTCCGATAAAAATGATGGTGTACTTAAAAGGTCAGTCGGTTAGAAACATTGTTGATACTCAACCGGAAGACGTCAACCAAGATCAAAGTTTATTTATTTAGCCTAATAAAAAGTTTTTTCTCAAATGAAGTTGAAATTCTCTGAAAAATTTCGAGGTCAACCCCTCTGATTTCTGTGATGCACTTACAGGCTATATTATACGTTGCTTACATAAGCCGGTAGTTTCTTACGGGAATCAACTTGGAACGGGTCACTCTTTTTTGAAACCCAAGAGCAGTTTCACTATCATTTACATATGTCTATAAATATTTTTCGCTAATTTAGATAACGAAAGACACTTGTAAACAAATAGTTTTAATGTGATTAAATCAAGCAAAAGAAATAAGAGAAGAAAGCTGAAAGGAAAACTGACTTCTGTAATATTTACTCTATGGAGATCACTCATTGTCATCAATGGTGCAGAATTGTAAATCAAATTATTCCGATGCAGAGAAGGCAATAATACAGAGGCTAAATAGCCTCTTTTCTTTTTTTTTTAAGGCGATTATTAAGAACTTCCCGTGATAAAGATTTTAATTAAACAAAGGTCAGTTAGGGTTACTATCTCGTTTTTGACCAGCGCATCGACAAGCAACTACATCATTTTGACTGTTCCGTACAGTTTCGCACATCCCAAAATACGGGCTTCTGGGATCTGATTTACTGAAACAATCAGGATGCTCGCTGCGACACTGAGTCTTGATTTTTCCATTTTGCACTATCTTCTTCTTGACACAGCAGTCATCTTCACGGTAATTTTGACGTGGCTCGGCATATCTTCCAGATGGAGAGTTTGGCTTAGGAGAACGTGCCCGAATTGACTGGTGGGCGTCTCTGGTGATCACTTTGTCCACGCTTAATTGTTGGCAAAATGCTCCAATGCACGTCAAAAGGATGAAAACCACAATTCCCTGTTAGGAAAAGTCAATACCAAAACAGAATCACCCGATGATTTCAAATCGGTGCTCTTCGTTACTAAAATAAATATCAATGCATTTTTTCAATTTTCTCACTGCTTATTTTTACGTAGACTTCGCACTGAATTTAACCGCATTTCGCACGTCTTCTCTCTAAAACTGAGTTGACAGGGTAGAGGCTCCTGTTATTGTCTTACTGATAAAGTCCATCATCTTTCCTTCTAGGATAACTTTCCCGTTACTCATTCTTTTGTGTAAATATCACCCTAACGATCTAAGCAATAAATGGGAAATCGAATTTTTACAATGACCCAAAAATCTCAGCTTTCGTCGTCCTAAAAAGGCACTCTAGCCATTATTCTTCGCAACGTAAAGTTTAGGTTATTGCTTGAAAATAGCGACGTGATTAATCGACGGGAAAGCAAAAAAACATCAAAAATTAAAGTCTACGCCATTAGGTCTACACTAACTTGGCTACGATTTTAGTTATGTTTGTTATATCCCGTGAAAATATCACATGAAGATTAAATTCATCTGAGAAACAATTTGAAAGAAGTTCAATTTCAAGACAACAACGTGAGTAAATATCTCATTGAACATCCAATACCCTTGTTGGGAAACTGTCGCCATACAATTTGCCAGTGACCAATTATTAAAGCGAATGGGACTTTCCAGTATACATACCTTAATCATTTTAGCTGTAGTGAGGTTTAAGATGGAGTTCAAACCGAGAAAGCCGCAATACGCCACAAGTAATAGTTGTATTTTTACGTGACATAAGACCGTCAGTGCTCTTATACGCTTGAGCGAATTAAAAGCGAAATTCTTAAAGGCTTACACATTTTCGCGCTAAAACGCGGTAGAAATATTTCGTTTTCAGCCTCGTTTAAGATTGCTACATGTGTTCACATCGTATTCATTTGACAAAAGCGACCGTTCCCAGAGTATTTGAAAAATTGACAAACATCAACGTTACCGATTTCTCCTTACAATGTTTTTGTTAGTGATTTATTTGCCAGGGGAAACGCACTGTTCTTGGTTGTACTGCGTGAAAACAGGAAGAAATTATTTTCAAGAGCATTTGTATCTACTTATGTAATTGATGTTATTTGTTGTTTTGGATGACCGCAAATTGTTTCCTTCTTTGTACTTGGTCAGAAATAAACTGAAATCACTGGTCAGTTTCCAAGAATTCACACCTTGTAAATTTTCCGCGTTTTCAGTGTGCAGTAAACTTTCCGCTTTAGAAAAGCTAAGGGCATTCTTAGTATTATTAAAATCAAATATAACAAGACGACGATGACCAACTAGTAACTTTTCTTTAAAGGTATCCTTTTCAGAGTGCAGAATTTTATCTCGTCTAAATTAGTCTTTCTTACGCAAAATACGTTCTTGGTCAGAAATAAACTGAAATCCGTGGTCAGTTTCCAAGAATTCACACCTTGTAATTTTCCGCGTTTTCAGTGTGCAGTAAACTTTCCGCTTTAGAAAAGCTAAGGGCATTCTTAGTATTATTAAAACCAAATATAACAAGACAACGATGACCAACTAGTAACTTTTCTTTAAAGGTATCCTTTTCAGAGTGCAGAATTTTATCTCGCTTTACATTAGTCTTTCTCACGCAAAATACGTTTATTAATTGTATCTCTTCCTCATGATTTTAGCGAATTAGCAGTCGTTCATACAGTGAATGTATCTGGTGCAAATATATCTAATTAGCCTATTCATTAAATGAGGAGAATTGATAAGAAATCCTCTACAATATTACTCCCAATTACGTCGTGTTTTCGCTTGTGCCAGTGTCGGATTACTCGGTGCATCAGCTGTGTGTGCCTTTCTTTGAGTTCAATAGCTCTGTCTCAGACTTAGCAGAGGGTAACACAAATACCAAGTCTACCTTTTGCAATCATATTTACGCGTGAAACTAAGGCTGTGCAAATACGAGGTAGAGCTTGAATAGTTGACTCATATTTCGTTTTATTGTCACTAAATATCTTATAATTTGAACTTTTCAGCAATGAAGATGTTACATGATATAACTATATTTGAAGAGTGAACGGTTCCAAATTCAATACGATTTATAAAGTGAATCTTCAACTTGCCTCAGTGAAAAGTTTTGTTGCTTTCGTTACAGTACCACGAGAATGAACAATTAACTCCTACCCGCATTAAATATTTCACAAATTTGTTAGTTTTCCAGCACTAAAATCGTATGTTTTCCCTTTCGTTTCAATAATTGTGCAAGATGTAAGTCCAGAACATGATATAGGCAGTTACAGTAATAAAGGATCTGTCGGAAGAACAAACAAGATCTCTCTAAATCGGCCTCTGCTAACATATCAACACGCACACAGTTCTTGTTTCCTTTTGTAGTTGAGTAAAGAGAGAGTCCTAAATAGATCAACGCGATACTACAGAAATCTGCTATGTGTTTATACAGAAAAACAGTCACAATGCCAAATAGGTTTTCGGGCAAGATGGGCATTGTTGCTATTCCAAACACAGGCATTAGCTGAGAAAAGCGCTGTTTTTTTTGAAGGTAAATCAGTTCGGCAACTGTTCAAATGAACAACATCTATGAAAGGGATTTACCCTGCCAGGCAGAGACACTCTTCGTTGAACAGTCCCGAGGTACCTTTGTACCTCATCAGTAAGTGAACTATCAGGTAAGTTGGTTGTAAGTTGGAAAATTTCAAGTCAGTTTTGACTAAAATTTGAAATGTAGTGTAGAAAACGGAGTTGCCAATTATCGGTCTTAAAAATGTCGAAATGTTAGAGAACCAAATGTGGAGGAACTTTTTTCATTTATTTCAACCTTACCGTCTGATTTTCGAGAGAAATAAAAAATCTTTGCAACAATTTATACGGTACGTTGGAATTGCAGGAAACACCAAATCACTTTAGCAGACCGTTACTTTTGGAAACTCCCTATTCGCATTACCTCCTTATGCTGAGGTGGTAAACTCTGAAGATGCATTGAATTGTTTATATCTGAGAATTCAAAGATAACTGGTAAACGTTATCCGATTTCAGGACTTTTTCCTTTTATCGATGAATCACCTGCCGTTGTTGGTTCTTGGTGCCCTCCTCGTGGCCAAAGAAGGCCTGTGTGAGAAAGGAGCCTTCGAACAGATTCTGGAAGTAAATCTTGGAATTAAAAGTAAGTTTAAATTTGAGCTCTACTGAAGGCTATCCTTTGTCATCTAAATTTTTCAGACAGAACTCAAACTTGTGAATGCAATTCAGATACAATGCAAGGGAAAATATGTAATTTCTAGAGAAAGAGGCGACAATATCCTAAAAAATCTGTCCCAGCATCAACAAATTTCGAGGAATTAGTGCTACACCCGTTCAAATTGAGTCGCGGTAATTTCCAGACGAATGAGATAACTATGCCACACGAAAACAGGCTATTCAAGCGGATCCCTTGTAATTTAAGGGAATTAAGGTTTTAAAATTATTTACCAGTCGCATTACAAGAAAAAGGTACCATGTGAAATTTTTTAGTCGAAGAGAGGTTCTCAATAAACTCACAAAGTACAAAAATTTCGATATGATAACTTTAAGAAGTTTCATTATCACCGCGGATTACATCTAATTCTGCGCACACTTCAAAATTAACCCTGTGTACGGAATAACTTGTTTCACTTCCTGTTTGAAAATTCATTCTTTTGCAGATAACCCAGAGAGCCAAGGACAGCGCCAATCAGATTCACAGCATCTTTACGAAGGAGACATAAAGCTTTCAGAGGAGCAGCGACTCAACAACGCTTTGTATGGAAACCCAGACGGATCTCCAGGACGCGCTGCAACTAATGTAGATAAGATAAAGTGGCCCAATGGCGTTATTCCTTATGAGTTTGATTGTAGTGTGGGTGAGTGTTTAACACCAAGGGCGGTTTAATGAAACAAATAACTGTTTAAGAGGAAGCAAGAAAGTATCCAGTCTCTTCCTAACGTTGACTGAATAAGAATTTTGGCCATACTGGCTGACAATATATCCCAGCCAGCGTTTCCCTAATCTGTTTTGCATTTAACAGAAGTATTCTGAATCGACTTTACAAATTGAAAATAGGAAGCTGATGTTTTAACCAATTGAATGCGACATCTGTTTGCAGCTAACATGGATCGAGCGGTACGAACCACAATGGAAGCTATTGCCGAATGGGAGAGCAAAACATGCCTAAGATTCGTTAAGAGGACGACTGAGACAGAGTTTCTTTGGTTCCACCGTGGAAATGGGTATGACGGGTTTTATCAGGTCTTACGAGCCAGTTATCCCCTGATCTTGATGGTATATCTCGGTTTCTGTAGCATGAAACGACTTTGAATATTGCTGCTCCTTCCTTTTAACCTTTAAACCCCCAAGAGTGATTAGCATCTAATTTCTCCTCACAATATCACCCTTGAATCACTCTTTAAGGTCATAAGAAAAAATGGTGTTTATCACCAACTACAAAAAGCTCGTGATTGTCAGACAGTTTCTCAATTAAGCACCTTAGGAAATGTGTGAAGAACAGTATGGGGATTATACATACCAATGTTACGGTATTAAAGTTGGGTGATCATGTAAGTCAAAAGCACTCGCAAATGAAAGGGTCCCTTCTATTTGCTACATGGGTAACTAGGTGATAACACGAGAAGTTGGAGGACAAACATAAGTACCGTAAAATCTCCTCGGCCTCGAATTAAGCCATTTAATCTAAGATCTTTACCGAAACCATTAAACGTCCCACATTTTTCTACAGTTGTTGGTGTGAGGTTGGAAAAGTGTCTGGTCGAGAAACTTGGCTATCTATTGGAAGCGGCTGTGAATACAAGCACGTGATGACCCACGAGCTTGGACACGCTATAGGTTTTTGGCACGAGCAGAGCAGACCTGATAGGGACAACTACTTGAAGATTAACTGGGAAAACATTCTAGACAGTAAGTTATCGAGCTCGAAAAGGCATTTAAAAGATGAACAAGGGTGGGCGGCAAGATCGATAAAATGTTATTTTGCAAAATCTTTCTCGATCTCTAGAATGGTCTGAAAGAAGGCCACAACTTGACCTTCCGAGGTAACGGACGGCGATTTGCTACTAGTCAAGTCAATGCTTTTTCTTCCTAGGTATGGCGTATAACTTCAAGAAGAAGGTTCAAGGAACGGAGGTAATCGACTATGGAGTCCCATATGATTACTCGTCTATAATGCATTACCCGTGGACTGCTTTTTCCAAAAATGGAAAAATGACTCTGGAGCCTATCAGGCCACTGAACGGAAAGATGCCGTATATAAAACTCAGTGACGATGACGCATTACAAGCGCGCAGGATGTACAATTGTCCCAGTAAGTATCTTACAATGCTATGATTTGTGGAAGTGACAAAAATTTACCAGTGCGCAGGGTGTGCAATTGTCCCAGCAAGTGTATTATGATGCTATGATTTGTGGAAGTGACGAAAATTTACAAGCGCAGGATGTGCAATTGTCCTAGTAACTGTCTCACAATGCTATGACTTGTGGAAATAACGAAAATTTAAGGTGTAACTGAAAGGCCTGGTATCTTGAAAAAACAAACCAACAAAAGCAAGAAAACAGGATTAAAATGTATCGGGTTATCGATCAATAGTCATTTGCGATATACAAAATCTTCGATATTGTTTACCCTTTTGGTTCCTTATTGTGATACGTTAATACTTATACCAAGGATGATTCTCTTTAGAGAAAACCAATTTTTTTAATCAGTTGAAACCATCTTAATTTGATTAAGAAGCTTATCATGCAGGTTGCAAATTTTAGCCCTCTGTTATTCAACCAAATACACAGCTTGCTAAAAATATCCATTGCGCATAGTACATTTTCTACCATGGTGAACATCAATTTTTAACTATTTGTAAATTCATCTGTTATTAGGTCGAGCTAAGAGAAACGCACTAGGTAAGTGATCCCTTTTACTAGCTTTTTTAGAATTAATATATTAATTACTGAATTAAAATCAGTTCCTATAAAATAAAATGAACGACAACCATCAATTCAATGCTGCACTTTACTGAAAGTTTTCTTGATATTGTCACATACCGTTTGGCGGGTTTTGAAATAAATAGAAAATTCACCTTGTAAACCACATACTGTCGTGGACCTGAGACTAAATCCTATTGTGCCAAGTACATGTGAGACAGAAAAAAACCTAAGCTCTCTGCGCCTGAGGATTTGAACATAAAAACTCCGAACTTAACTTGTGAGTTATAAGGTCTTGTTAGTTAGCTGGATCATATACTATCTTCATAATTAGATGAATGATATCTTACCTCTTACTAGTTTTAACTATGTCTAAATTATATTATCAAGAGATAGAGTGAGAGAGTGAGATAGATGCAAGGAAAAAACCCTAAAACTTTTGCGTTGGTTTTTATTTCCAGTAAATGCCGCTCCAGAAAGGTGCGTAGATAGAGCTCCAAAAGTCGATTGCGAGGGCTGGAAGCAAGCCGGCTTCTGCACACAACATTCCTCCATGATTTACCATTGCAAAAAAACTTGTGAATTTTGCTCATCTAGTAAGTATAAAAGATACATCTGAAAGATCTCTAGCTTCTCCCACCAAAATACTAAGATTAGTTATCTTTTTGGAAAATAGAATAGTCGATATTTGATGAGATTTGATTGGATTATCTACGTCACAAAGATTCACAACACAGAAATCAACACACATCTTTGCGATTTATCTATCCTATGTGGAATAAAATATCTTCTGCAATTAATTTTTGTTGCTGTTTCTGTAGCACAGGGCATACAAATGCCAACGCTTCTTTTCTTTCTGATTTCAGATAGTTGTATTGACTTGAAATCCGAGTGCAAAAAATGGGCTTCTGACGGAAAGTGTTCATCTGACAAAGCTTACATGGACAAGAATTGTCCCCACACTTGTAACACCTGCAAAAAGTGCACTGGTATGTTCCACTTCCAAAAGCTAAATAAACAACCTAACATATAACCTTTGGGGAATCGAAGGAGTTGAGCTCAGAGATAGGAGTTTAACTTGGAAGTACCTATCCACTTGGTGGTCGAGGCGGGACTCGGAAACAGGATATCTCGCGATTGCAACTCCGTCGCGCTTACGACTCGCCCACAATAACGAGGGGTAAAAAAACAAGCAAACAAAAACAAAAAATTAAGAAAATATTAGTTTTCTTTGCCTCTGTTTGGTCAGTCGCTCCATTGGTGTTATTACTTTCTGGGTCAGGGGAATCGTTTTCGTTACGCGTTCTTTAATTAAAGGGTTGCAAGCTAATCAAACCTAGTTCCTTGCTCAAGATATTTGCTACTACACTTCTACAAATATATTTGTAAATGATGATCTAAATACGAAGTCATGTTCATTATTGTTTAGTGCAAATACAATAAGCATTGGCCGAAAAACCTTGATTTTACTTACAATCTTAGTCTAGCCAGAGACAGCTCAGGGGGTCAATAAGAAGACGTGACACCATTGTCCACTAACTAATGCAAAACATGTTGAAAAGAGGTACGTTTGTTTTTCACAAAAAGGGATAACTTAAAAATAACTACTTCCTATTCTAAATTTTAGACCCATCGCCACAGATTTGTATCGACAGAGCTTCATCAGCGGATTGTGCCAGCTGGAAGAAGTCTGGATTCTGTTCCCAACATTCGGCATTGATCTATCACTGCAAAAAGACTTGTGATTTCTGCTCATCTGGTACATGCATGCGTGCTTCAAAGGAATTCTTTTGTGAAAATGGATAATTCTTCCAAGTGTAAACTTCTCCAAATAGGAAGATTTTTTTTGGATTAGCAGATTAATCATCAGCTTCGTCTCATACATTTGATCTCAAACAGGGGCCAAAATTCAAGAAAACAGAAAGGGTACAAATTAGATACAACCAAAGACTTCAAATTCTTAAGGTGCCTATTCCGTTTCCACAGATAACTGCGTCGATCTGAAATATGACTGTAAGACCCGTGCAGATAATGATGAATGCAGTTCCGATCCAGTCAAGATGGAAATGGAATGTCCTCACACTTGTGGCTACTGTAACGAGTGTACAAGTAAGAGCCCTTTAGAACACCTTTATTGAGGTGTGTTGTTTTGATAGAATTAGTTTTCTAGTGATTCCCAACGCCATTCTGTTCTTCTTCCTCTTCTTTCTTTCTATCTCTTTCTTTTTTTTCCTTTTTTTTTCGATAGAGCCAAAACCGACTAATCCACCCAAACCACCAAACCCGACTAATCCACCAATCACAGGGATACCAACCGTTCCACCAACTTTGCCGAACAGGACAGGATCGGGTTTGTGCATTCATTTTTCCTTGTTTCCTTTAGTTCTATTTTCATATTATTAAGAACAGAGTGTATTTACAGGAGGCGTCAAGTTCCTATCGACAAAATCCTTTGTTCTCTGTCAATTACTTGCCGAACAAAGACATCTTAGGTATGGAGTATTAAGTTATACTGTTTGAGAAATGACAAGTTTAGAAACAAACCGTCAAAATACGATTCAGTTTCGCTGTTTGCAATTTAAAATCACTGCAAAGCGAACACTGGGTATCTGACTCTCTCCTTTTCAGGCTTGATGTGTGTTGATAAACGTAAAAGCTGTCCATCGTGGGCCGCCAGTGGTGACTGCAAAACCAATGGATGGACTGAAAGCACCTGTCGCATTAGCTGCAAAACAAGATGCGACACGTACCCAATCAAGCCAAAAGGTAATAATTAAGGTATTTTTATCAGTATAATCATGAAAAATCACAATTTCCTCGATTGTTATTTTCCTCTTACTCACTTGCCAAGTTGTTATCGGACAGTTTGCTATCGGACAGTTCAATATGCCAGTCACATTCAAAGTTGTAAATTCATGTCTGTCTTAAAACTGCTAAAATAGTAGGGGCGGTAAAATATATAGTTGAAAACCTTATCACCGTTTAGGCTTGTCCGGATTGTGTTCGCAAAATGCTGGAAATCTCTGGAATGTAAAAAAGGTGCTAAAAAATTGCCAAAAATCTGAAAAGTGGCTACTTAAATTTCAAAAGTTGCCTACTAAATTTCTTGATTTTGCGTTCTTCGCAATAATAAACTTAGCTTTGCAGAGTTGCTCGCCAATTAAGGCGGCTTCTGACTATCTATCTCTATGCATGGAAAGTTGTGCGTCGTTTAAGCCGATTATCCGTTCCAATGCTTGATACTAGGCCTGCGAAACATTCAAGAAATTTGCATAAATCAAAGTTTTTTTTAAAGAAATCGTTAACTTTATCGTCCTCGATATGTGCTCCAAACCTTAAAGTTGCTCAAAAATTGCTCAGGAAGGCAAAAATTGTTCGAGGTTGCTGAAATGGCAAAAAGTTGCTCAAAAGTTTCCGCGCACACTCGCCTGCCATTGTTTCCAAATTTCAGAAACACAAGACACTGACTAATGCTACCTTCCTATGATCTAGGTGCTTGCTCGGATGGTCTCGGTCTAGGATGGCCAGGAAACTACAAACTTCCAGACAATGCTTTTAGTGCTTCAACAGAGTACAGGCCAGGTGAGTAAGAAATAATAAATTCCATTTCAAAATATTCATCGTCCTCACACCTTTGCCATTGTTGCTGTGATTAGAACAACGCATTTTCCTTTCTTTATTGGTCAGCCATTTTATAACGTTCATTGATTTACATCTATTATGCTGTTCTGTTTCACTCGATACATGGCGTGCACTTACAAAATGGAAAACTACGTGATTTTCTGTGTAACATGACGCGTAAGGTTTTACCCTTTACACCCTAACATCAGTATGCATATTCTCCATACTGTTCTCTAGACATTTCCTGAGGTTCTGACTAACAGAATTTGTTCAACAATCAAGAGCTTTTCTGATCTTTAGTTGGTGACATTGTAAGAAAAAATTGTATGCAGGTCACCCTTATGATTTGAAGGATTATAACAGTTTAAAGAATTTCAACTACAGTATAAATACACCAAACCTGAGAGTAAAGAGTTAAAGTCGTGATTAGACACAAGCGTTTCTGTTGCTGTATCGTTTCTTGTTTTATTAGCGTTTTGCGTTCGTTTGGTTTGATCTTATGAGATGGTGATTGGAGAATCACGTAATGACCTTTCTGTTGCCAAATAATTCCTTTTTCGTTTGCGTTTTACATTCGTTTGGTTATGTTCTCATGTGCAGGCGATTGGAGAGCTACGGCAGACAATGCTCGTCTTTACTTTGAGGATGACCAAGACAACAAAAGGATCGGAGCTTGGTGCGCTGAGGATCGCGATAACCAGTGGCTACAGATTGATCTTGGTCAAACCAAGACAGTAAGGGGAATAGCCACACAAGGTAATATGAACTACACTTGTAACATGTGGACCGGAATCGTCAGCGGGCTTTTTTCTTGCAAGAGGATTAATGCTCATAACGTCAGCGATTTATCCACCGAATAAAAACCTTAAAGCTGATAGAGCGCTTTCTTATTGAGTGTCGTACAACCAAAACGATCGAACGTGGCCTATCATGATCAGAAGAAAAGAAAATACCTTTAAAAGGCAATGAGAACTCAAAGTTAAAACATGAAACTAACCACGCAAAGTGCAGGAGAACGCGGGCAAGTCGTGTTGTATCTGATTGATTGAGAAGGTGACGTAAAATTTCTGGACCAACCACTTACCAAAGTATAGCAAAAATAATGCAATCCCGAATTATTTTTAACACTTATTTGAAAAATTTTTATTGTCAAATCATCACGTCAGTAACCAACGAAGCTCTCTCGCTGGGTGCATGAACGTAACACCAGCGCCTTATCCACCTTAACAAACCCCAATTAACATTTGATTGGTTTAGTGGGTGGAGCAATTTCTCTAGACCCATCACAGAACGCAGAAAAGCAAAATTAAATTAAAGCAATTTAGGATCGCCTTCGATTCTTGTTTGAAAATTGCTTTTCTAAGATGATGCCATTTGCAATTTTGAAGATATGAAATTGACGAAATTTTTCAATCGCTAAAATCAGAAAAAAATGTTGCAAGAGCCCTTCGAATGAGCGCAGTTTGTAATGTTATCCAGAAACTGAAAGCTAGGTAATGTATTCAATTTATATTTAGCTTTTTATCTAAATTTTCCTTAAAGGGCGCGATGTTTTCCACGAGCACGTCAAAGAATACAAGCTGGCTTTCAGTAATGACGGATCAAGCTTCCAGACTTACCAGGAAAATGGAAAGGAAAAGGTAAGAATCAAATGCTATTGAGTTAACTTCCAGTTCCTTTGCCTAACTTTTGTTTTTGTTTTCCGTTTTTTTGCTTCCATCGGGTTGATGCAAAAGCAATTTGTCTCTTACTCATCCACTTTTGGAGCACTTTAAGTATTCCACGTACCTGCAAAAGTTTGTCCGGTACTTAAAAACTTTCGTATGTCGTTCTATCATTTCAGGTTTTTACGGGAAACTGTGATCATTTCACACCTGTGGTGAATACATTCAATCCTGTTAAGACCCGATATGTTAAGATCATCGTTGTCGACGCGAGCTATCCCTGCATGAGGGTGGAGTTATATGGGTGCGATGCCTAGAGAGGTGAGTATGGCTTAGAAGGAGAGGGGAGGGGTGCTCGACTTCCTTCGCCCCTCCCCCAACCGTTCATCCTAACTCTAAATTGAAAGAGGCCGGTTGGATAAAAAATCCCGAGCTTGTGACGTTTATGCGCCCTTGCCCTCATATGACAGTTAGAGTGATTCAAATACCTACACCAATTAAAATACTAGCATGCGCACTTTGAAATTCATGCACCGCTGTCAATTTGATAAATATCAAATATTCGAAGCCTAAGAAAAAGTTTGTTTCAAGTAATTTTAAATTCACTTTTGAATTTCCTTTCTTTTACAGGTCTTCAAGTAATGAGACTAAGGAACCGTCCTTTCCACAGAACAAAGTTTGCAGGTGCTTGAATAGAGATTGAATAAAATGAAAAAATTACAATAGAGTCTTTCTTGAGTGTCTACTATCTGACAAGTCCAGAGAATGGCTAAAGTTATTTACTTTTCAATTGGCTTAATTGCAAGGGAAGTCCTAACATAGATTTCGACACCCAGGAATATTGAAATCAATTATCTTGGAATGAATAACATTCATCCAAAAAATATAGAGGATACAGATTTATATTTGAAGACTGAAGAAGAAATCAAGTACAGGAAATCCAAGTGATAAATTCAATTTTCCGTGAAATAATTTCCGTATTTATTGACCACAGAAACCTGGTCTAGTCTCTTTTTCCAATGACATGCACATACTTTTTAAAAAGATAACAAATGCAAAACTGAACCATACAGTAGACTATACTCTTCATCAATATTTTAAGGTACTCTGATAATATTTGAACTCTTAAATCGAAGATACAATTACCAGAAAAATTGAAATTCCTTAATTTCTCATACAAAGCACAACTTTCCACAATAACTTTTACAGCTTTCGCTTTTTTACAATCTCAATAAGGATTTCAGTTCGATACCTTCATTTTTACTATATACAATTCTCTTAAGAAACAAGAGGATTCGAGGTGATAAAAGTTGATTAATTTTTCTTTCATGTGGTTTGTTACCTATTTTGCCACTGAAGAAAAATTCCAAAACTAGAGAGAACTAAGAAAAAATTGAACAAAGTTATTCCAAAATCCTACTTTCTCTAGTTCCATTAAGAAATGCTTCTCAGTATTTATAATTATTCCTTATATCATCAAATATGTTCATTACATTTTAACCATAGTCAAGAGACAGTTTCATTTTATACACTTGTGAACTCACTTCTTCCGTCTCGACGATGACCATTACGAGTTTATCCTTACGAAAACATTTAAAAAAAGGAAAGGAAATTACAGCATTTTGCATGTCAATAAAAATAAATTATCCAATTTTGGCCTGATAAAGCCAGGTAACTGAGTTGTATGAGAGCTGAATGACTTAATTGTCATAATTTAACGGATGTTCCAGCTGTACACGAGGTCAACTGTTTTTGTGTGCTTCAGTAACACATCAGCTAAACGATTCGACCCTGTAATGCATTGCTCGTCCTTTGATTACATCAGCATGTTCATCCAAAGTCGTTGATTCACCAACTGTATTAAAATCAAATAATTGTTTCATCTTTCTGGACTTCTTCCTCCACTTGAGAAACGGTCGCTCCCTCTGTACTTTCTTTGGCAAGGTAAAGCTACAAAATGGACAACATCACTTCACTAGATAGTCAGCAATTGGAGATTCAGGCAAAAGATGATCTTACGAAAACGAATCACATGATATGCAAGTTACACGATGTAGAGTAGCTGATAAAATAAAATAAGAACCTTTATGAATAATGTTGGTATATTTTGACGATGACACTTGATTCTACCGCAGAGAGCACTCTATTACCAGTAAAATCACCGATTATTATGAACAAATAAAAGACCTCGTGGGTATTCTAGCTAAAAGCATGAGCAAATTCTTTTATACTGAACAGAGCGACAATGAACAAAAAATGCTCACGTCATCTTATTTACGCACGGGCGTGCGTAAATAAAGATTTTGTTCGTTGCGGCTCAATAGGAGTTACATTGGGCAAGCACGCGCGCTATGTTATAATTCTTTTTTTCATGCTTGTAAAGTTTACTTTATTCTTTTGATTCCAATCGTGAACAAGTGTTTTGTCTGCTTTGTACGATTTGATAACTTTGCAGCACTCATCGCTGCGACTGAGATAGTAATACTTTGATGACAACCTAAATGCACCTTTATCTCCCTGTTTATTACCCTATGCAATATCCCTTAAAAACAAACCTCATTTTCTAAATCTCGTGACCTCCTCGTCAGTTCATTTAGCACTTGGTTTGTTTTGGATTCTCTCTTTTTGTACTCTTCCAGTTCCGCCTCCAATGCAATGATCTTGACGTCCCGTGGGGAGGGAGGAGAGGCATCTTGTCGCCCGCTCATCTCATTGATTATGTGATTCTGTTGGGAAATATGCGAATAGAGTGAGGGTGAGTTCAAGGTTGGCCGCGTTCTTTTTGCAACTCTAAAATCATAGATGGAAAGAGAAACAAGAAAAGGAGTTACAGTGTTCTCCCATTTTGACCAAACAAATTTGGGAAAAGGAGGATTTGCTGTACACCGAAAGGTAGGTATGCCCATTCATGTACAACGAAAAACTCACGACTCGCTTCAGATTACGATCTGAAGCACAGAGGTCTGACCACTTAAGACCAATATACGTTCTCTGTAATTTTTGTTTCTCCGCAATTAACTCTCTTTGTTTTGCACGACGATTTCATTCCTTTCTCGCGTTTTTAAGCGATAGGCCATTCACATTTAAATAATCTCTAAGCGAGCAATAGCGCCTGAATACAAAATCAAAGGTACAATTTTTTTTGGACGAAATTACCTTTCGCGTATTAGTGATGTCCTCTTTTCAGTGAAAGGTACAGAAAGCTAACGAAATCAGAGCTTCGACAGACATTAAAGTACCTTAAACATGGATAGTTCTTCTATTCGTCTGTTGGCTTCTAAAAGTGCAGCAGCAGTTGCATTATCGTGTCTTCTCAAAACAACAAGATCTCGTTTTAGACCGTAAATTTCTTCTTGCTCCTGCGCTCGAGTTATTTGACCCTAAAATTGATAAATGGTAGGAAGTGAAAGATCTGGTCAAGCACACTTTGCCACAACGGCAATAGAAAAATGTGACGAAAATTCATTTGAAACTTAGTTACATGTAACCGTGAGCAATAGTACAAAAACGTTTTTTTTTTTCAGAGATCGTACCTAATACCAAACATCCTTAGGATTAACCATCTTCACAAATACATATAGTAGTGTTTGCCTGAAATTATTGATACTGACACTGATTCTCGGTCTTTGTCTTTGTCCCAAGCTGTGGGAAAATGCATAACAACCTAATTTTTATCAAGATCACACTCAACCAAAAAGAGCCGTTACCTGTATCAATCTGTCTGCTAAATTGGCACTCTCCTATTGGACAGGAAAATCAAAAGGTTACTCAGATTTAGTAAAAATTTGTCGTCATTACTCGGAAGTAAAATTTCAGTAACCCAATGCAACTTCCAACATTGATAATGGACGCGAAGAAAAACAAAGTTACTTGTAAAGTGACTAAGTTAGCCTATTGTTATCATATATGCAAGTACACATCCGAACTGCACTGACCTTCTCCAGTTCGTCGATTCTCTGAAGCAGCAGTCTATTTTCAGTCTTCAATCGTCGTAGTTCTTCGTTGTCTTCTGCTTCTTTGTGTTTTACCCGCGTGTATTCCTTCTCCAGCCTAAAACATAAACGCGCGAAAGGAATTGGATTGACGCACCACTATAGACTAAGCGAGCGTCTGATATGAATATCCAGGGCACCAATGGGAGTGGGCAGGGGAAGTTCAGTAGTTTACAAGTTATTAAGGTCGACACAGCTGCCAGTGGATGTACCTTTTTAATTTCTTGGTGCTCACTTTGGCTTCGGCAGCTGCTTTCATCAGAACATTCATGTCCTTTTCGTACTTGTCTGGCATAGTTTTTTGAAAATACTGATTAGGAAGAAGGAAGATAAAATGAAACAATCAACTTTGATACCGGTTGTTATAATGGTACAACTGTAAGATTTCAGTGGCTGAGGTGACAAGATGAGGATACATACAGATGACAATAACGTCTTCTCAGCAACATCTAACGATTTTATCAAAACCTGTCTTTCTAACTTTTTCTATGTTGGGACTCAGAGCCATCCCATCGGCCTTGCCAAGCCAAAGAGACCTAATAAGGCAGGGTCCGAATTAAAATTTTTCCAGTTGGGCGACAAGTGACAATTATTAAACCTGGGCGTTTATTTCCATCGCCAATTGGAACAAGTTCATCGAAACAGAATGTACAAATCCTACTCTTGAACGATCGGCAGCTAAGTGATAAAGGCACAACAAAAAGTGACGGACCTTTCGTTTCCAAAGCGCTGATTTACATCAAGAATATTGACCAGAATTCAAATTAGTCGTTTGCTGTCGACCAGCATTAAAAGACTGAGAGCTAACAGCTTCTTTTCTTTTGTTCTCTATCATGGACAGCTAAGAGTCTTAAGACCAAATTTTACTACCATTATCACCTGAGCACCCAATGCACGGCTGGTTGACTCACCTTCAGCATTCCTTCCATATCAAGTTCAAGTATCTCATCTTGACCAAGGGTGAGCATTGCCATGATAACACGAAACAGACCTTCCCTTCCCTAAACGAAAAAGTAACCAATACTTTTAAAGAGTCTATATCGCAGAAATGCTTGAATACAGTTACACTGACTTTGTTCTTGGTAGGCTTGAAAGTGGGTAAATTGACTTGCTTGTATGAGCAAACGTTCTAAAAGCGAAATATTTGATAATTGAAAATTCTTCAATCATTTATCACCTCTCACCTCACAAATGAAGACATCCATGATTCTGAATGATGCATTCAGAGGAAATACAGAGGCAAAAAGCGTCAAGAACCATGATGAAGCATACATGGCTGTATGGAATCCCTGGTGTCAAAGAAAGTATTGAAGACATAGGCTAGTCTCTCTAAATTACTACTGTCTTTGTTTTCTTTTTGTTTGTTTGTTTGTTTTCTTTTTTTTAAAAAACAGATATCTGGCACTGTCCAAAATTATAGTTGTACATGAAGCAAACAATATGGAAACGTCATTTGTCAAGTCAAAAGGAAAAACTTTCCAGAGGGAGCTTAACCTTTTAACTCCCAAGATCTCATTAGTAATTCTCCTTATTGTCTGCCATACAGTTCTTGTGATGTTTGTTTGGAGAATTTGGTATTGCATCAACTTATAAACCCCTAATTGATATTTTTCTTTATTCTCATCACTTGTCGGCTTGATACTGTATAGAAATTGTAAGGAGAAATTCTTTTTTGGTCACTCATGGGAGTTAAAAGGGTTAATGGAGCTTGCTGGAAAAAGTAACCTTGTCCAAGCTGGATATGGCATGAGCTTGTTTGACTACTAGGGAAAATACAGAAATGTTTACAAATGTCTAAACAAGGTTCTAAACTTGTGGTTAACGAGGCATTTTAATATCCACATTCCAAAAACAAAAAAGTACAGTACTATAATATTCTGAAATTGGAAATACCTGGGCTTGAAAATGTGAAAACAGAAGAGGAAGATGTTCCTGAAAGGTAGAAAGAGGGTTATTTAAATAAGAAACAGACAGCTAGACTGTGTAATGCAAAATAACATGAGCATGCAAATTTATCCCAGCTATTAGTGTGGTACCAGAGGTGAAGTACACACACTACAGTGCTGATTGTATTATCATACTCGCCTCTCTTTGATGTGAAAGAAAATAAACCAACCAATTGTGTTAATGAAAATAATTTTAGTAAACCTGCAACATGCTTTCCAGCTGAAATATGCAAAGTCCTAGCTCAGCCATTGTAGGTTTGAAAATTTCTCTCATTCTATATTCCTGCATGAGCTTAACAAATACACAAAATGCATCTTCCTCAGGCATCTAAAACAGAAAAAATAGGAAAATTAACATTATTTTTGTACAAAGATGAAACATATGATAAAAAACAATCAAAAGCAAACAAAACTAAAGATTTATTTCATAACGTCCTCACCTGCATAAGCAATATGCCAACTATGAATGCACTACCTTGACAATATCCCACTTCTTTATCCCAAACAGAGTATGCCTAATTCAAATGAAAAAAAAAAACTTAGTACTCCTTCAAGCTCTACCAAATCCTCTACTTTAAATTATGTACATGTAGTGGAAAGTGTAAGTAAAATGTGGAAACAATAATAGCAGTTCCAAAAAAATTCATCCAAAATTTTTAAACTCGTATTTATGCACAGGAAACATGAAATTTAATTATCTGACCAGTAAACCTCCACTAGAATCATGATTGAAGCACATATTTAATTTATAATAAGTCTCAAATTTACATAGAACCATAAATACTGGGCAATAATTAACCTATTGACCCCTAAGAGTGACTGGCATCTAATTTCTCCTCACAATATCGCCCCTGAATAAAACATTAAGGTCATGAGAATAAAGGAAATGATCAACAACTAAAGAAGTCTTGACTGTTAAACAAATTCTCCTTTTCAGAACCTTAAGAAATGTAAAGAGAACAGTATAGAGCATACCTAAGTTAGGGCATAAAGGGATTAATAGCTGAAATTGCTTAAAATTTACTGGTTTACCTTTATAACATTATAAAGAGTTCCTTGACCAATGCCATCCTTATCTTTAAAGAATGAATGATCAGGAAAGGTTCTAGCAATATCTCGTTTGATCATCCGTTCACATGCTGAGTTGCTCTGAAATTAGGTGACAAAACAAAAAAATCGAAGGAAACTTCTTCGAAAACTAATATTTATTGATCAATTTTAAAAAGAAATTAAGCTAATAGTTGTGGCTTGCCAACAGAATGATGTTACCTAAAACATCTAACTCTGAATACAGCGTGCTGTGATGAAAAATCTTTTTGTAATTCAAAAGTCCTAAAATATATTTATTACTAAAAATTGTTTGAAAAATGTCAATAAGCCACATAAAGTTAAAGAGTTGTTTCAAATCCCTTAATTATCAATAAAATGAAATTATCTATCTATCACCACTAAAACACAAGATACATATGCTGTACATTTACAGGAAATTTGCCAAGTGCTGCATTCACATTACTGGTGACTGAAACTAACCTTTATGAGCTGAGGGTACTGTTCTCTAAGAGGGGAATCACTAGCTTCACAGAGCAACTGCCATACCATTCCACGCAGTGCATTTGGAACGCCCATCCTAACCATATCTCTGATAACCTTTGGTTTCTTCCTCTGAGAATCAGACCAATTACCAATGAGTTGTCCCCACTCGTGATAAGTGTCTGCTTCACCACACACCTCATCATAGTTGTCTGGTGTCTCTGGACTGTCACTTGTAGCATCTAGAGAGTTACTTCCTGCACTGCAAGCTGACCATCTCTTTTTGGCAAGGCTTGGAGACGCTCCATCTGGAATGGTGGTCAGTGCCTTAGAATCACTGCTTAACAACCTAATGAAGGGATAAATTTGTACTGTTATCCTCATGAAATAATCCTAAATGAATGTGGTACATTATACGTTAAAGATGACACATTAAAGCACACAAAACACTGAGAGCTAGTTATTTACACAAGGTCTCATTCAAACCAAGGTGACTGAGACACTAACATGCTTACAACACTGAGGGCTGGTTATTTACAGAAGGTTTCACTCAAACCAAGATTTGAGATACTAAAGCACTTAAAATACAGAGGGCTGGTTATTTACAGAAGATTTCACTCAAACCATGGTTTAAGATACTAAAGCACTTAAAACAGTGAGGACTGGTTACTTACAGAAGGTTTCACTCAAACCATGGTTTGAGACACTAGAGCACTTACATCACTGAGGGCTAGTTATTTACAGAAGGTTTCACTAAAACCATGGTTTGAGACACTAAAGCACTTACAACACTGGGGGCTAGTTATTTACAGAAGGTTTCACTCAAACCACAGTTTAAGATACTAATTAAAAGCACTTGAAACACTGGGGGCTGGTTATTTACAGAAGGTTTCACTCAAATCATGGTTTGAGATACTAAAGCACTTACAACACTGGGGGCTGGTTATTTACACAAGGTTTGAGACACTAAAGCACTTAAAACACTGAGGGCTGGTTATTTACCAAAGGTTTCATTCAAACCAAGGTTTGAGACACTAAAGAAATAAAAACACTAGGAGCTGGTTATTTACAGAAGGTTTCACTCAAACCATGGTTTAAGATACTAAAGCACTTAAAATACATAGGGCTGGTTATTAACAGAAGGTTTCACTCAAATCAAGGTTTCAGACACTAAAGCACTTAAAACACCGGAGGCTGATTATTTAGAGTAAGTCTAACCCAAACAATGGTTTCAAGAAATCAGTGGGCATTCTCTATAAAAAAGTTGACTGAATAAATAAATAAATGTCTTTACACTGTTAGCTTTCAGTCCTCTTTACACTGTTCACAATAATAAATGTTCACATAGAAGGTTTGGCTTGACTGAGGATTGTGGCTTAACTTTGTTTAAAATAATCAGACCTGAAATTTCTATTCAAGGTATTTAGCATGCATGCAAGCTCATAAGGTTCATGGCTGCCAAGGAAATAAATCTAGGGTGTAACACACTTTGAGATTTACTTTCCATATAATTTGCTTGAATATACACAAGGTCTCATTCAAACCATGGTATGAGACACTAAAGCACTTACAACACTGAGGGCTGGTTATTTACAGAAGGTTTCACTCAAACCAAGGTTTCAGACATTGAAGCATTTAAAACATTCTATTCAAGGTATTTAGCATGCATGCATGCTCAAAAGGTTTGTGGCCGCTGAAAAAATAAATCTGGGGTGTAACACAATTTAAAATTTACTTTCCATCTAATTTGCTTAAATGTAATTCAAATATGTAAATTTATCTTCTGCAGTAGCTTCAAAATAGTGGTTCTGCACAATAAAGCCAAAATGAAATTTTGAAGGATCAAAAAGACAATTTTTTCAAAACTTTTCTCTAGTATTTCACATGTTTACCATTTTCAAATATTTGTTCCTTTTTTCATAAAATAATCATAAGAAGGTTAAGGGCCCTACATTGGGTAAAACAAAACTGAGCAAGTGGTAATTGGTTGGTCCCATCAGTGCTTACAGGCAAATGACATTTTCAAGAAATTTTTTGCACAGGGTAAAGATCATAGGAAGTGACATTTTTAAGATTTATTTTAAACTGAGCTCGGAAAATAAAATATTTGAATTAACACAAATTTGCATGCAATGATAAAATAAAATAACAAATGATCACAAAATTGAATAAAGATCTATTAAATCAAAATTAACATTTGTTATGCTACAGCTGTCAGATTATATCCTGTCACCCATCAGAAATCCCTTTTCCCCATGATAAAAAATGATTAATATTTATGAGCACACACTCTTTACCAAGGCCACATAACGATCTATCTTGACTTCATATTAATTCTCTTTAAAGTTACTGTTTGTGAATTGATCACACAACACAAAAACCAACACAAAAACCAATACAATATAGCCCTTTCACACAGCTGTAATATTTCCGATCGAATAATATGCAAATTTTGAACCAATTGACTGAGTTATTTGTTAATCTAATTAACGATTCACTAGAGCGTTCACTTAGTTACCTTTAAGAGCATGTAGACTTTAAAGTGTCAGCTCCAAAAACATATTATCATTATTTGAAAGGTTCCTTTCCTTTGACATGTCTTTACTTTAACTTAACGCAGTATTTTGGCCGCTTAAGAAACAGTATCATGTGCCGGAAATAAAGTCACGAGAATATTAACAAGAGCTTACCAGAAAAGCCCACAACGATGAAACAAAAGTGAAATGAATAATCTTCGGGTAGAAAGATGAATTATGCTTCTGAGACCTCTCGTTTTCGATGTAGAGGGGCAAAAATTCTTTAGCCTCGATTAAAGGTTAAAAAGCGTCTCTGATATTGTAATTCAATGTACATAGTCACATACTCTGTAGCAATAACTTTCAAACAGTATATCTTGAAATATCAAGGGTGAAATAAACATCGAAAATTTTATTAATCAGTTACACACCTTTTAAATTCTTGTCATTTTATTCACACAAGAAAGGAATGTAATAAATCACAGCAATCCTGTCTAGTGAAGACTCACCTGTTCTGTTCCTCTAAATGTGCCACAAGCTCGTCCACTGACTTTGTTCGAGACTTTGAGCGTGGCGGAGGTTTCAAGGTATCCGGAACACTTTCATCGTCTAAATCTCCGTTAGAATTGTTATCCATGGTGACAATTACAGCAGTTTGTTCTGCAAGTCCCTACAGAAATAGACGAAGCTGCCATCAACCCAATCGCGAGCTACTTACGGTGAGAGAGGTCAGTCGGTAGTGATCTCCGAAGCACGCTGCAACAAAACGCCATGTTCTTTTTTCCCCTCTAAGCCGTCACATTCTGAGTTAAAAAGATCTCTTTATATTGGGCGAGGAGTCCTTAAATGTAAATTTCAATAAAATATCTGTTCCGCAAGGGAAGGTCAGGTCAGCTCTTCGAAGCAAGGACGGTCTAGAGTGATAGCCAAAATACGATGGCACAGCAAGGCTCGAAAGTGTGGAAAAACGTTACTTCAATTCAGCGGACATTCAGGGTAGTGCTTGAATGCTGATGTAATATCACTGAATTAGATTGAAGCAGCTTTTCAGACAACTTGCGGGTCAGGCAGTCTGTCAGATCTTTGGACGATACATTTACCATACTGATGAAACACGCGAAAACGTAGATGACTTCTTACAGCATTTAAACAACCAGCAGCCTTCCATCCACTTCACCATGGAGACAGAGAAAGACAACAAACTCGCCTTCCTAGACACCGCAGTTTTAAGAGAACCTGACGCCCGCCTCACCACCAGCGTATACGAGAAGCCTACGCACACCGATCAATACTTAGCGTATGATTCACACCACCCTCAATCGGTAAAACGCGGTATTGTTAAGTGCCTTTACGAGAGCGCCAAACGTCTCGTATTAAAACCCTCAGTCATCTCCGAGGAGAAAAAACGTCTGTCATCTGTTCTGGTTTCTAATGGTTATCCGTTTTATTTCTTTCAGAAACCAAGACCGGAAAACCAAACAACTGTTCCGGACCAGCCAAAAAATTCAAAGCTACTGCGTTTTTACCTTATGTCAAAGGTCTGTCCGAAGAGCTTCGCCGTTGCCTACAACAACGAGGCATACGCGCTGTTTTCAAATTGGAGACCTATGCAAGACAGAATTAAGGAGCACGATCGAGACATTCGACTCGCCCGTACCGAGACCTCCGCCGTTTCAGAGCATGCCCACAACACCGGACACAAGCCACTCTGGAACGAAGTAAAGTTTATTGATCGTGACCCTCATCACTACACGCCCATGGGCAATTCATATAAGACTTCACCCTAACAACATCAACAGTTATAGTGGAATAGAAATTCCAGGACCGTGGATGCCCACGATCAAAAAACACAACAACAGAAGAACCGCGCGACTGCAGATCGCCGAGGGAGCAAATCACTAAGTGAACAGCAAGGATCAAATGCACCAATCTGAGCTGTTGAAAAACAACTAATTAATCACAGCAGAGCATCATGCTTTATAAGATCACGCATAACCAGTCGACCTCATCGCCTGAAGAAGACTAGTAGTGTGCAGTCGAAACGTCGAGATCTACATCATACGTGACTACATCGTGAGACAAACGAAAAACTTAGCTTTGGTTTAGTGTATCAGAAGCGGTACAAAAGTTGACGCCGCCAATATTTATTTTTCTGCAACTAGCAAAATTAAGTTCAGTTTTTTTTTATTCAAAACTTGATACGTTCATTGTTTCAAAGCTCCAAAATTGATCCTCAAGACATGTGTCGTTCATCACTGCGCTGACTGCAATCTCTTGTTTCTTTATTACTGTTAATGGATCTTGTTCCTACCACTTCTCACAGTATCTTCATCACATCCCTTACAGATGACCTCTGTAAATGTGTTTTCCGACCATTATCGTAATTATTGTAATTGTTATTATCATTATTATTGTTAATTATCTCACCGCTATTGTTATCATTGTTATTATAATACACAAGGATGATAGTTCTCATCAGGTATCGCCCCTCGAACATCCACAAGAAGTTTACTTCAAAATAAAGTCTAATGGTCTGTTATCAAAACAACAGAGTTTATGCTCTTGGGTATGAATATGTTTTGGGCCCAACTCAGAGCATTTCGGCACGAGCTGTAAGGCGAGGGTAAAAATAAGCTATGAGATGGGCTCAAACCATATTTATGCTCAAGAACATTTACTCTATTACTATTATCATTTATCATTATTATATCGCTGGAAGCGCCCGTGGAATCCTATGTTCTGTTTGGCTACCTGAGCAGGCAATCTTGCATAATTCGTAACTTGTCTCTATTTCACAGTGTTCTTCTGGGAAGTTTTCCAACAAACCTCGACTTCGTGTACTCGACCCAGTTTTTTTGACTCAATTGAGATAATATATATTGGACTTCGCTCATTGGCCCTTTAATGTAATTGCGTTAGTCAGTCTGACTCATTCACTGTTTCCACCACGGGCACGCGAGTCATATCAGGTAAGTTTCTGATTTTTATTGTAAGGTGACGCTATTTATTGAGCAGCAAGCATTTCACAAGTGAGAGATTTTTCGCTCAATTACAGATGAAGGCATATCGCGATCGAGGCAAATCTAAAAGTGAAGTATATCACAAAGCGAAAGGAATTGTCAAGCCAGTTAATCATGTATCTGCCGGTTAATCACAGAATGTACATAAAAATTATTTTCATTTATTTCCTCTAGGTCATCCGTAACACTTCTATAACATCTGTATCTGGCCATGTAAACCTGTTTATTTTCTCCCCAAAACATGACGTTTGAATCGCGTTTTTAACAGTTTCTCATCGTCTTATTGCTCGTCTCTTATCTTTTTTAAGAGAATGTTCTCACTGAGCTGTTTTAGTACTATCGTCCTATAACAGTTTTAATTTTTCTCCGTTCTTCATTCACGGTGCAGCTTTCGGCAGATTGCCTAAAACACAGATAGAAAGGACCAAACAGAAACTAAACAAACAGTGAAAAAGAAACGAGGATTGTTAGGAAAATCATTCAGTCGTGGAAGTCATTAAGATAAGAAATAGATGCCGTATTAATTGTGTGAAATACCCAACATACTAAGCTTTCAGGCGCAAAACATGAACAGACGAACAGAATTTGAAACAAGTTTCAGACTTTAAAAAACTTTAAAATCCTCAGTTTATGAATCAGTGATTAAGTTAGTACGGTCCTGACCAGATTATCACTTTTCACATATAAAAATATTTAGCTGACTAGTCATACGAATTGGCTCTCGCATGATGATGAGTAGTACTGTATACCTATCATACTGAATTTAAACTATGAAAAAAACAATCCGAGGTTATGTCGCTTCTAATATTTAGGCATGATATAGCGATAAATATCCCATACTTCAGTTTCGATTAAAGCATAGGATTCTGACTTGGGATCTTTTCGGTATTTTTCGGTGTATTCGTACTGTGTGTAAACAATCCTTTCTTGATCAAACTGTGGCGGAGTTCTGTCTTAACTTCTTCTTCTTTTTTTTAATCTCCTGGCCGAAGCTCTTAAGAAACGTGAGTAATCATTTTTTGTAAACAAGCATGATGTCTTATCGTTTCTTATCTTTTGTTAGAATTTGAGGAAAACCTATATTTCTGGGATAGAAATGTAAACTAATTGCTAATCTATGTAAATAAACAATCGTCCAACAAATTCATCTAATAATAGCACAGATGTTTAGAATTCCTCGATAAGCTGCGACTCGGTAATAGAGTTTGATCAGCTCTCTTCAAGATTGATCATGACGGCTATTTCGCCCTCAAAGAGGCTGCTTCTTTTGATATCTTATCCTATATAAATTCCATTTCAGTTTCCTGTTTATTTTCCTAACTCTTTACCGCAATTTTACTTCAGCTCTCTCCGCAATAACCAGCTTAACTGGTCAATATCGGTATATATCTGCTTTTGTGATCAGAATATAAGACAACAGGGTTTTTGGAAATTATCATTTTTAATAAATAGAGTTATATCTAATTTTCCTTTTTTTGTTTCTTCACTGTAGAATACTTTAGTTCCAAAAGCTTCTCAGCCCTTTTACTCCTTCAAATAAAGCGACAAAAGAAATACAATTTGACCACTTTCTTGATCGCGGCAATTACGTTGGCGCTTTGGTGAAAGAAATGCAAAGCTATAGAAAACATCAGGATGTGGCAATTGGAACTGGATGTACGAGAACTGACATTTTGATGATAGGAAAGTGTAACTAAACTAAACTATATGTCAAATTGTCAAAAAGACAATGATTTCTCGAGAGATACCCTTGTTTCGGTAAGTCAGTGTGAAAATAGGCGCGGTAAATTAGAAAAAAAAACTGAATGAAATGATACTTATGCTCCTTAGCACTTAAGAAAAAGAGCTTTTAGCGACGATCCGCGGCTATTGCGGTTGTCTTAGATAGGAAATAAATTGTCGGAACAAAATTAAAGGCGATGAAAAAAATGCATTTAGTATTAATGTGTATAACTTAAAGGGAAACTTTTACTTTATGAATAAAGATAACTCCGTTAAATTATATTTATCAGAATTGTTTTGACGATCATAGGTTTATCAAAAATATCGCTGGAGTAAAGGAGGAGAAAAAAGTGAATACACTCTATGATAAAATAATACAAAATAATCTGACTGCTTTGTTCTGTTTTTTTTTTCTTCCGTATGCCTCCCAGTTATCAGAAAATTTTACAAGAACCTCTGAAAAGCCAGACCTCTTGATTTTGTTTTCTTAAAGGAAAACACCAAAACTCAGGATGTTCGCACTGCCACGCTGAGGGTAATTAACTAAGAGATTGAAAATTATACCATTACATCCTCCCTTGCTATTTATCACGTAATCACCTAATAAAGATAAAAAAGAAAAAAATATGATTACAACTTCCAGAACTGCTAATGTATACGCTGAGTTGATGGTACATGTACAGCCTCGATCACTGATTCTAATTTAGGTGATGAGTATATTTTGGAATACTCAAAGCTTAAGAATTGAATTGAATATGCAACCTGTCAGAAATGCATACATTTAATTTTGCTTCCTAAAAAGAATATTTCAAAATTTAATAACTTGAAAGCGAAAGGCATCATGTCGTTGAGTGTACCGTCGTAGACGCTGTTTTTTCCTCTTTCTGTATATATATATGTTAATTTTAGATAAGCGATAGATATTTCCTACTGAGAGAAAATGGAAGTTATTTTTTCTTGTAGGGCTGACGGATATAGATAAATTATAATAACGTTTGACTAGCCGATGTGCTTCACTGTCCGAAAAAAGCAGCTGGCGAGACAAAAATCTCAGCATTTATCCCACTGACTTCTGTTTCACCTGTCTTGAGGTGGAAGCTGTATTCAAGTTATCTTCTGTTGGTGGCCTCCCTTACTTAATGCTGCAACATGGTAATTCGTATTTGAGTCGCAAAGTCAGACAAGCTGTCGAATTGTAACCAGACACACATGCAGGAAATTATTTAAATGGTTTTGATCTTTCACAGTTGTTGACAAGGATACTGTTCCAAAGAGCTCGAGGTGCATCACTTGGTTGGATCAAAACGGAATATTCCATCGAGGGCCCGAGAAGTTCCAGTTTGCTGGAGGCGTGAGTGCATAAAAGACAACAGAAAGCACCTTTACAAATCGGTGTCAAGTCGAAGTTTAACAAATATACTTTTTGTGCATACACTGATTTTAACGCGCCTGCAGGAACAAATCAGAGAGTCTAGATGGCTTTAGCATCCTCGTCGAGTATGTGTTCAAACATTGGTCCTCCAAAAGCTCTCTCATACTTTACAGCCTCCTTTTCAGTTTTCCTGATAATTTTAACCATTCCTGGAAACTTTCTCATCTGTTTGGCCATCATAAAAGATCCCTTCAGAAACTTGAAAACACCTTTTAACTATTTCCTGTTAAGTCTAGCGACGACTGATCTGGTTGTGGGATCGATTATGGATCCCGTGTCAGTTGCTTTTCACACTAGCGAAGCGCTTCAACTTGACATCGTAGATATCAAAATCTTGCACATTTTATACTTTATCTTGTGCACGGCGTCTATTCTAACACTCATGGCACTTACCGTAGACAGATATGTGGCCGTATCATCGCCAGTGAAGTACAAAATAATGGTTACCTCCAAGCGCGCTATTTTAACATCCCTGTTAATTTGGGTGGCGGCACTAGGGTTTTCTTTCGTATACTTCAAACTCGGATTTATATTCTACTCCTTTATATTTGCAAACACTGCTGTTCTCAGCACGTGTGGAGTTCTCATCTTTGTTCATGTAGGAATACTTAAACGACTGCGCCAAAGATCGAGATATTGGCGAAAGAGGGGAGAAATGGAGAGCACGAAGTCTGATGTACAGGAGAACCAAAAAAATCTTATCAATGCAAAAAAGGACAGCAAAGCAGTCAAAGCATTGATGGTTGTGCTTCTTGCATTTTTTGCTTCGTTCACACCAGCCTGTGTTATGATTTACTTGTTAAATTTTTGCTCTGGCTGTAGTTGTGTGCTAATTCATTGGTTGCGGGATTTGCAATTCTTAATTGTGTTGTGCAACTCTGGTATCAACCCTTATTTATACGCATGGAGGCTTCCTCAGTTCAAAAGAGCTTTCTGCAAATTCCTTCATCTCAAGGCACGCACAAGGATAAGTGACATTACCACAACATCAGTTTATGCCGCTGGCAAACGAGAAACCATCCAAATACCTAAAAATTTAAGCGGTGGAGACGAAAGGATTTCACCCGTTTAATAAAACTATACAAACACAAATACACTCACAAAGAGTGTCCTTTCTCATTTGTATTCCGGTGTATGCATATTGTTGACATTGCTTTAACTAATAATTTAATGAGTAAGAAGATTTAGTAAGTCTAAGAAAGATAATCGTGTGATATTTTCATGTATTTTTTTGTGTTGTGAAAGTAAAATGTTCAAGGGGATTGCGGAAACTCTTCGTCTCAGAAATTAATCACCATTACCACTTAGAAAGGACCATCGAACTTAGTTATTTATTTGCTTTTGGGTCGGATTTCGAATGATAAACCAAACATTAAATTCGTTTCCTCATTTTATCAGCAGCGATTAAATGAAGTAAGTAACGTATAAACCCATATGCAGTCCACGCACACAGCGTTTTAACGACTGATGATGAATACGCAGACCACAATGTACAGAGCAGTCCACGAAAGCATTTTTCTCAATATATCAATGACGATTACGTTAATCATTTTAGACCTTAAAGTGAAGTGGTTTCTGTAATATCTTTCAGTTTCAACATTCTCATTAGTCGTTTGTAAACAGCTTCAACTGCCACTAATACATCAACCATTGCTTGAAACATAAAGATCTAGCTAGCTTCTATAAAAGCTTTTCTGGAACAAAAAAAAATTAAATAAAATTGATGAAATCTTTTTATAATAATTGGATTGTTGGTGCAGGAAGTATTAAAACATGGTATTAAGTTGCATTATTTAAAGCGACAATATGGCGCGTATTTAAAATTTATCAGAATGGGCGGTATAAGATTTCGGAACAACTTGCGGATATGTCAATTTTGCTTCCTTGTCTGCCATATTTTGTTCTTTGTTCAGGTAAAACAGACGACAAGCAAATTTTGATGGGAGTCGACTCTGTTTGACTTTGATTTCTTTTTCGTTTATTTCTTTAATCAGTGAAAGAAGAGCGCAGCCTTAGCTCTTGTTAATTGTATTACCTTTTAATTTACGAACTATTGGAGTGATTAATTTTCTTCATGGAGCCAATGGGCTGATTGTGACTGCTCCATGTGGTTCCAATTCATCTGCAGATTCGGAGATGACGTTGATACGAGAATTGTTCTTAAATAACATATGCCATAAAATCTTTACAACAGGCTTTGTCCGTGCGCCATTCCCAGAATTTTCCACGTACAAAGTACTTTCGAGGTTGCCCAGTTCTCATTCCGTAATGCACGAGGTGCGTTTTATCCAAATTAAAATACAATTAAATTAACTGCTCAACTTATTGTCAGTCGGCGGGTAAGTTGGTAACAACCAAACGCTGTACCAGGGTTTAGAATACAGGTTGACTCTCTTTTTAGATCATTATCAACATTTCATTAATATTGTCAAATCATTCTAAGTTACCCGCTTAAATGACTTTGATTACATTGCAGTGTCCGTTTAAATTCTGTTCGTTTTATGGACGGCAGGAAAAGGCAATCTAAAAGGCTTCCCTTTGCGCAACTTGAGGAGTGTCTGGTGGGATGACATACGCTCATCATCGGTTGGCATTTTTTTCTCTAAATCTGAAGACGCTACCAATAATCTATTATTCAACTTTAGTATACGCTGAAAGGAAAGAAAAAATGTGGCATTTAACTCACATTACAACTAGACATAATAATCGATAACTCAGTATTACTATTACCACCAATCTTGAGCATGAAAAAATGAGAGCCAAAAAAACGAAGGTTGCTGAGCCATCGAGTATTTGAAGCTGACAACGAAGACTGAAGGTTTTTTCAGTGAAAATCATTTCGAATTCGCAGCCCACAATTGGACTGTCGACCCTCTTTTTGAAGCCCGCTGGTGAAATATCGATTCGCCAATAAGGGTAAAAATATGGGTTTTCACTGAGCTTATGCCGGCTTTCTTCCAGCATCTACATAAAAATGAAAAAAAAAAATGAAACTTGGTGCGCCATAATCTACACTTTTCCACTTGAATTCGACGAACGTACCCAGAATATTAGTCTTGTCCTTGTCAACTAATCGGTTTAAGTCAACATAATCATATTTAGGAAGGAAGGAGGATGGCGAAAGGCGATGAAGGTTATTAGGACGGATTTAAAATGACACAAATAAAAAATTTGGTCTACGAATGCGCTGAATATGGGTAGCTTCTTCAAAGAAGACTGTGTCCCAGTGTCACTCAATAACCGAAAAAACGATCTCACCTCAATCAGACAGACATGTATTTCTCTCTGAGTTTTCGTTTTCTTTGACAGAGTTTTCGTTCTTTAAAGCAGAGCCTTCGCTCGTAATAGCAGAATCTTCGCTTGTTATGACCAAACCTTCTGCATTTATGGCAGATCCTTCCTCTTTATCTCTTACTCTCAACATGTTTAACGGATTACGTCCGATAAGTTCAAAAGAAAGTCCAAAAATAAGACCGATGTAAGCAACGAAGACCAGGAACTGTACAAACGGCGTCACGTCCATGTTGAGGATGGGTAAAATCATGTTTTGTATCTTTGCAGGAGATTTTTAGGATTTTTTTTGACCACAAGCTTTAAAATTTATGCAGAGACGGGTTTTTCTAAAACTTGGCAGCCGTTATGATGCACATTTCAAATTGAACGCGAACCGGGGGAGGGTGCATTCATTTTAATTTTATAGAGAGGCAGGGGTGGGGTTTCCTACCCTGACTTTCAAATACTTCTTCCTAATTGACGAAGAACTATTGAGCAACTCGATATATATATTTCGCATATGTGTACTTTCCTTGTAGTATGGGGTACTTTTCATCTAAATTCAGTAAATCAACACAACACTTAAACGTCTTGCAGTAGCATGAAGAGGGGAAATTAAAAGTATTTTCTATACATTTCAGTTTTTCTTTTGCAACATTTGTAATCTTCAATTTAAAGCGTCAGTTGCAGCTTTCCTTATTGTTTTCTTTACCGTAGCCCTTCAAACCCCTTTCTCTACATACTATTAGCCTGAAAGTGTCAAACTCCTTGGAGGTGCAACCCTGTCTATAGTTTATCGTAGGTACTCCCCCCTTCTCTTAAGGAGAGGCATAGAAAGCAATATTTGGTAACCTGGTATAGAAGTGTTATTAGAATGCCTTCTCCGTTGAGAGATATTCGTTTGCTTTAAACAGTAATTTTGAAGAAAGCTCATGGGTTCGAATACGAGATTCATTACCTACAGTGGCTTGGTTAAAATTGCCAGAGAAGAAATGATATTTGAGTTTGCCATGATGTCTTCAACAGGTACCAGTAGCTAGATTCTTAAATATTAATTCACTGAAATGCAAATTTTTAGTTCCCTCTTCTGAATCATTAAAGCAGGCAACGCTTAAATCGTAACTTTTGTGTGTTTTACCGTTCACACCGTGGTTTACCTTTTTTTAAAATAAAAAGACCACTATTTCGATGAGAATTTGCAAAATTGTGTAATTCCAGTGACATGTCGCTTCACCATAGACACTGTTTGCATTATTGTTATTATCATCTTCGTTACAATCAATATTTGCATTATCATTTGCTAGTTAGACGATGAAAGAAATGGCCAGCCATATTATTGCGATTGTTTTGTCTTGTTGAATGCACTCAGTTAAGCTTTGTCAGGATTAAAACCAATTTGCAACGTAAAAAAGAATAAAAATTGAGGAAATATGTTATAATAACTGTCTCCGCGAAAGCACCCCATTCTTCTTTGTCTTTCGATTTTAGTATCTCCAAGTGCGCTTAATTTTGTTATTTATTTATTCGTTTGTTCATTCATTTTTCTTTTTCTTTTTTTTTTTGCGGATGTCTTGTCTCTCGCGCAACGTAATGCTATAGAAAACCATTATGCTGACGTAAGCCAGTCTGGATAAAGCCGCTCGGTTCTGCACTCGCGCAGCTTTGTCGACGCTTTTTAAAAAAACGTGAAATTTTAACGAGGAGGCTTTAGCAGACCGCTGCATGTTTTCCCTTTTAATTCCACTGGCTGGGAGGTTATGGCGCATGGATAGCTAAGATCAAATCACAACAGGAATTATGTTATTAAGCAGAGCTACCTTAATGTCGAATTAAAATAAAAGGCACCAAAATAAAATACACCATTGGCAGCCGACTAACATGCTACATTGCCGGGACGCGTTGCAATTCGATACACGATTCGTGCGATATAGTTCGTTCGATCTTATTTTAACGTGAAATTCTCCGCGGCAAGTGATGATAAAAATTTCACTTTATGGTTAGATGTTGACAGTTCTGATGCCTATCAGCCATCAGTCTTAACACGTTTTGACAAAGACGGCCGACATCTATCGAAACCTCCAGCATCTGAGTATGCCGAAAAGACTACAGGCTGCAGGGAAAGAGGTTATGTAAAATAGTTTGAGCTTATCCCAGCCTGATTACATTCTTCAAGACATTAGCTATATATGTATAGCTCTGTAGCTCAAACTGATAGAGATTTGTTGCCGTTCCATGATTCTTTAAATTAAGGACCAATATCATGCCTTTCTTCAATGGTGAAACAAAAATGACTGCAGCAGCTGTGCAGGCGGAAAGATCCCTGATGTTTACTTGGGGATGCACCGGGCTCATAGTACATTGTGAATAAAAATTTACTGCGAATTACAGGGGCAATAACTCGTGTGTAACTAAACATCGATGTAAAGGCCTCGAGATAAACCCTTTCACTCTAAAGATCTTATTAGTAATTCTCCTTTCTGTCTATCATACAATTTTTTATGATGGTAATTTGGAGAAATTGGTATTGGGTCAACTGATAATCCACTTAAATTATATTTTCCCGATTCTCATTAGTTGTTTGTTTAATATTGTATTGAAATCGTAAGGAGAAAATGTGTCGTGGTCAGTCATGGGAGTTAAAGGTTTAAAGAGTCCTCTCACACTGCTTTTGCGGACTGTAACCTTCTTCAAACGGATACGGGCCACTTAAAATATCAGGGCTCAAACAACAAATAGAGCGAATCGTACATATTCACCATATGGACCAAAAATTGCAGCCTTTATTGAATTCAAATCAGCAATTTATAGATTTTCACAGAATACAATATTGATGATAGCTGCTCGATTTAAGTGCTGCCTTCGACACAGTTGATCACGACACCATAAAAAGCCCTCTCCTGGTTTACATCTACATCTCAATTTCGTCATTTGATCCCGTGCCAATTGCGAGAAATCTTGGTTCTGGTTTGATTCAAGGCTCTCCATGCTGACAACGAAGACTGAAGGTTTTTTCAGTGAAAATCATTTCGAATTCGCAGCCCACAATCGGAGCGTCGACCCTCATTTTAAAGCCCGCTGGTGAAATATCGATTCGCCAGTAAGGGTAAAAATATGGGTTTTCTTTGAGCTTAGGTCGGCTTTCTCCCAGCTTCTATATAAAAAATGAAAAAACAATATGAAACTTGGTGCGCCATAATCTACATTTTTCCACTTGAATTCGACAAATGTACCCAGAGAATTAATCTTGTCCTAGTCAACTAATCGGTTTAACTCAACAAAATCATATTTAGGAAAAAAAGGAGGATGGCGAAAGGCGATGAAGGTTATTAGGATGGATTTAAAATGACGCAAATAAAATATTTGGTCTACGAATGCGCTGAATACGGGTAGGTACTTCAAAGATGACTGTGTCTCAATGTCACTCAATAACCGAAAAAACGATTCACTCGTTCTTTATAGCAGAGCCTTCGCTCGTAATAGCAGAATCTTCGCTTGTTATGACCGAACCTTCTGCATTCATCGCAGATCCTTCCTCTTTATCTCTTATTCTCAACATGTTTAATGGATTACGTCCGATGAGTTCAACAGAAAGTCCAAAAATAAGACCAATGTATGCAACGAAGACCAGGAACTGTATAAACGGCGTCACGTCCATGTTGAGGATGGGTAAAATCATGTTTTGTACCTTTGCAGGAGATTTTTAGGATTTGTTTTGACCATTTGAATTTATGCAGAAACGGGTTTTTCTAAAACTTGGCAGCCGTTATGATGCACATTTTAAATTGAACGGGAACCGGGGAAGGGTGCGTTCATTTTAATTTTATAGAGAGGCAAGGGTGGGGTTACCTACCCTGAGTTTGAAATACTTTTTCCTAGTTGACGAAGAACTATTGAGCAGCTCGATATATATATTTCGTATATGTGTACTTTCCTTATAGTATGGGGTACTTTTCATCTAAATTCAGTAAATCAAAACAACACTCAAACGTCTTACAGTAGCAAGAAGAAAGGAAATTAAAAGTGTTTTCTATAAAATTCATTTTTCTTTTCCAACATTTGTATTGTTCAATTTAAAGCATCAGTTGCAACTTTCCTTATTGTTTTCCTTACCGCAGCCCTTGAAACCATTTTCTCTATATACCTTTAGCGTGAAAGTGTCAAGCTTTCTAGAGGTGCAACCCTGTCTATAGTCTATTGTATGTACTGCCCCCTTCTCTTATCCGTTAGTGTGAAATTTAACGTGAAATTCTCCGCGGCAGGTGATGATATAAATTTCGCTTTATGGTTAGATGTTGACAGTTCTGATGCCTGTCAGCCATCAGTCTTAACACGTTTTGACAAAGACGGCCGACATCTATCGAAACCGCTAACATTTGAGTATGCTAAAACGACTATCGGCCGAAAGGAAAGAGGTTATGTAAAACAGTTTGAGCTTATTCCAGCCTGATAATATTCTTCAAGATTTCAGCTATACATGTATAGCTCTGTACATCAAACTGATAGGGATTTGTTGCTGTTCCAGGTTCTTAAATTTAAAGAACAATATCGTGCCTTTCTTCTGTGGTGAAACAAAAATGACTGCAGCAGCTGTGCAAGCAGAAAGATCCCTGATGTTTACTTGGGGATGCACTGAGCTTATAGTAAATTGTGAATGAAAATTTATTGCGAATTACAGGGGCAGTAACTCGATGTTTAACTAAAGATCAATATAACGGCCTCGAGATAAAACCTTTGATTCTAAAGATCTCATTAGTAATCCTCCTTACTGCCTATCATACAACTTTTTATGATGGCAATTTGGGAAATTGGTATTGGATCAACTGATAATCCACTCAAGGTATATTTTCCTTATTCTCATCAGTTGTTTGTTTGATGTTGTATTGAAATCGTAAGGAGAAAATATGTCTTGGTCAGTCATGGGAGTTAAAGGGTTAAAGAGTCTTCACACTACCCTGGCGGGCCACTTAAAATGTTAGGGCTCAACAACAAATAGAGCGAATCGTACATATTCACCATATGGACCACAGCCTTTATTGAATTCAAACAATTTATAGATTTTCATAGAATATAACATTCATGATAGCGGCTAAAGCATCTACATCTCAATTTCGTTATTTAGGAATGAAATTATGCTTTAACTTCAAGTTAGCTGTGTAGTCTTCACTGCAGTGAACCTATTTCTTTTGTTCCATTCCACATCTCAGCTCGCGGGCTTGTAAGCAAATTTCTCTCCGGTGCTGTTGCTCACGTTTTGCCTAAAAAGATTCAATAAAAATAATCTTAAAATTTCTCTTCAAATTTATTCGAAAAAAAGAAATAAAAAAACAAGACCGTTAAGCTCTGACGAATAGTTGGAGTAAAATGCATGAAAAGAACCGAATGACTTCTTCTTCCAATTCAACTATTTGGATACTGACTTAACCAGACAAACCGAAGAGACGATGGATTAAAAACCTGTACTTACCTCCTCCAAGCGTCTACGGATGTTCATCTTCATCATTTCTAAATTTCCAGCCCCTCCTTCATCTCCAACCTTTTTCGTACGCTTTTCCCAAAAGAATTTAAAACGGTTTTTAGTGCGGAAAAATTACTGAGTTGAACAACCAGGATCATTCAGCAATGACATGAATGAAATGATAAAGAAAAAACATTATTGAAAGATTCCAGCTCATTTTGACATGACTAAATACATAGATGAGGTATTTCTACGCTCACTAATAAGTGTTCCTTACTGGAAATTCTCTTTTTGAAAGGAAAAAAAAATTGCAATTCCTAATCGAACCACCCAGAAAATTCAACTCAAATTAAACATTAACACCATCTAAAACATTTTAGATGGACTGAAAACGAAAGAGATTTCTACTTATTCATGTACTTTTTCTACCTTGCGACGAAGGGGAAAATTGGGTATCATGCCCTCAACTAACATCGAAGAAAGGAACAGAGCAAAAACACAAAGTGCTGTAGTCTTCATCTCGCTGACACAAGCTTCAGTGAATGAAAAGTTCTGGTATATATTAATTATAATTATATAATTATTATATATATTAATTATAATTATATAATTATTATATATATATTAATTATAATTATATAATTATTATATATATATTAATTATAATTATATAATTATTATATATATTAATTATAATTATATAATTATTAATCGCCGGCGATCCAAGATGTGTGCAGCTGTATAGAAACGCTTTACTTGCTCAGCTCGGAGAAAATTAAACACTTTCTCAGTCGGCATTCTTCACAAAAATGCGTAAGTCAAAATGTGCCATAGACATTTTGATAATGGGATTTTAATCATGTTTTCCAGTTCGCCTTATTGCCAGATGTCGGTTCAGTCATCCAAAATGCGCAAAATATTTACTTCGCTGTTTAAACCGAGTAACCTTAGATAGATATTTTGCGAAGGCAAAAGAAAGTTTATGAGGTGAATCCAACTATGAGTAACATGACGAACGAGTAAGGTCTTTGACTAAACGGCAGTTGAGGTCATCTCGGCTGGCTGGATCACGCTATTCTCTTGCTTTACTGCATCTTCCTGTGAGATTTCAGAAGACTATGGAGGAGGCCATCCTAACAAAGCTGCTGACGGATTTTTCTGAGTTCAAATAAATCGCACGATTTAATGTACAAACTCATGTGCCTCTAATGTAATATTTTGTTCCTTCCCGAAAGATATATGACACCGTGAAGGGTTTTCGCGTCTGACTTATATACTTCCGTATATTTCAAGTTGTCATAGGCTATTGTCAAAGAACATTGTTGCTGACTTTCTATGAGGGTATTTTCAAGATGTCGCGATCAGAAATGATTTTTCGTCTCTTTCTTGATCAAAGTGAATTTCATAGCCGGGAAGGATTGCGGAACATTTTGGGTTCGTTTACGCGCTTGTAGTGACAGAATTACTGAAGATTAGCGGCAAGGCTGTAGAAAACCTCCCTCGAAACACAACTGTCGGGCCTTTTTCAAAGTTAAGGCTACTTTTGTTTAAAAGGGTGTAGAAATAAAAATCCGCCGCTGTCATTAAGTCTAGCAACTTCCTTATATATTACTGCGACTATTATAACTTTGAGAAGAATTCTTTTTATTATTTTTTTTTTCATATAGCTTTTGAGCCCTCTGGAAATGTATACATAGATAAAGGTTATTTTCTAGGCGCCAGCGCAGAAGTGCGAGTTTCTCATGCTGTTAAGCTGTCAATCCACCCACGATGATTCCCTAACTTTTTTCCTCCGCGAAAATTTATCTACATATCAACTCTGAATGCTGTCAGTTATAGAATAGTGTGACTAGATCGTAAAAGTCATGATTTGCACTGATGGAATGAATAATTAATTTGGCATTAAACATCTTGTATTTCTTTCTTCTCTGTTCTAATTTTGATTTTATCATTTTGTTACTCAAATCGACCGCTTTGCACAATAACGATTTCTGCTAGTAGCTAAATATTTTTCCACCCATTTCTTCAGCTATACGATTTTTATTTAACCAGGTGCAGTTCGCATCAGCATCTTTTAGTGAAGTTCTTCCGCACACGCAAATGAAACACCTTAACTTTAGAAACTTCGGAAAAAATTTTCGCTGGAAACTAGCCTTCAAAACGCAGTCATTTCAAACTGTTCTGTATCACGGCCGAATTTAATTGGTTGGAGCTTGAGTTACCGCTCAGTATTTACCTGGGACTTTTCAAAGAAACTTATTCAAAGTAATTTTTAAGATTCTATGACGCACAAAAAAATTTTCACAAAAGATTGTGAATATTACTCGACCTCGTGTACTCGACCAGTTTTCCTGAATCGATTGAGATAATATATATTGGACTTCGTTCAGTAGCCCTTTAATGTAATTGCGTTAGTCAGCCTGACTCATTCACTGTTTCCACCACGGGCACGCGGGTCGTATCAGGTAAGTTTCTGATTTTCATTGTAAGGTGACGCTATTTATTGAGCAGCGAGCCTTTCACAAGTGAGAGGTTTTTCGCTCATTTACAGATGAAGTCGTATTGAAGCAAATCTGTAAGTGAAGCATATCACAAAGCGAAAGGAATTGTCAAGCCAGTTAATCATGAATCTGCCGGTTAATCACAGAATTTACATAAAAATTATTTTCATTTATTTCCTCTGGGTCATCCGTAAAACTTTTAACAACATCTGTGTCTGGTTATGTAAACTGTTTATTTTTTCCCCAAAACATGACCTTTGAAACGCGTTTTTAACAGTTTCTATTGTGTTATTGCTCGTCTCTTATCTTTTTAAGAGAATGTCCTTACTGAGCTGTTTTAGCACCATAGTCTTATAACAGTTTTAGTTTTTCTCCGTTCTTCATTCACGGTGCAGCTTTCGGCAGATTGCCTAAAACACAGATACAAAAGGACCAAACAGAAAATAAACAACCAATAAAAAAGGAACGAGGATTGTTAGGAAAATCATTCAGTCGTGGAAGTCATTAAGATAAGAAATAGATGCAGTATTAATTGTGTGAAATACCCAACATACCAAGCTTTCAGTCGCAAAACATGAACAAACGAACAGAATTTAAGACAAGTTTCAGACTTTAAAAAGCTTTAAAATCCACAGTTTATGAATCAGTGATTAAGTTAGTACGGTCCTGATCAGATTATCACTTTTGACATATAAAAATATTTAGCTGACTAGTCATACGAATTGGCTCTCGCATGATGATGATTAGTACTGTATACCTATCATACTGAATTTAAACTGTGAAAAAGATAATCTGAGGTTATGTCGCTTCCAATATTTAAGCATGATATAGCGATAAATATCCCATACTTCATTTTCGATTAGGCATAGGATCCCGACTTTGGGATTTTTTCGGTATTTTTCGGTGTATTCGTACTGTGTGTAATCAATCCTCTCTTGATCAACCTGTGGCGGATTTCTCTCTTAACTTTTTCTTCTTTTTTTTATTCTCCTGGCCGAAGCTCTTCAGAAACGTGAGTAATCATTTTTTGTAAACGAGAATGATGTCTTATTGCTTCTTATCTTTCGTTAGGATTAGAAGGAAACCTATACTTCTGTGATAGAAATGTAAACTAATTGCTAATCTATGAAAGGAAACAATCGTCCAACAAATTCATCAGCTCTCTTCAAGATTGATCGTGACGGCTATTTCGTGCTCAAAGAGGCTGCTTCTTTTGATATCTTATCCTATATGGATTCTATTTCAGTTTCCTGTTTCTTTTCCTCTCTTTACCTCAATTTTACTTCACTCTCCGCAATAACTAGCTTAACTGGTCAATATCGGTATATATCTGCTTTTGTGATCAGTATATACGACGACATGGTTTTTGGAAATTACCATTTTTAATAAATAGAGTTATATTTAATTTTGCTTTTTTTGTTCCTTCACTGTGGAATACTTTAGTTCCAAAAGCTTCTCAGCCCTTTTACTCCTTCAAATAAAGCGAAAAAAGAAAGACAATTTGACCACTTTCTTTGATCGCTGCAATTACGTTGGCGCTTTGGTGAAAGAAATACAAAGCTATAGAAAACATCAGAATTTGGCAATTGGAACTGGATGTACGAAAACTGACATTTTGATGATAGGAAAGTATAACTAAACTAAACCATATGTCAAATTGTCAAATAGACAATGATTTCTTTAGAGATACTCTTTTTTCGGTAAGTCAATGTGAAAATAGGCGCAATAAATTTTAAAAAACCTGAATGAAATGATACTTAAGCTCCTTAGCCCCTAAGAAAAAGAGCTTTTAGCGACGATCCGCGGCTATTGCAGGTGTCTTATATAGGAAATAAATTGACGGAAAAATTAAAGGCGATGATAAAAATATGCATTTAGTATTAATGTGTAAAACATAAAGGGAAGCTTTACTTTATGAATAAAGATAACTTCGTTGAATTTTACTTATCAGAATTGTTTTGACGATCATAGGTTTATCAAAAATATCGCTGAAGAAAAGGAGGAGAACAAAGAGAATGCACTCTATGATGAAATTTGACACTTAAAATCAAAATAATGTAACTGCTTTGTTCTGTTTTTTTTTTCTTCTGTATGCCTCCCAGTTATTAGAAAATTTTATAAGAAACTCTGAAAAGCTAGATCTGTTGATTTTGTTTCACCAAAACTCAGGATGTTCGCACCGCCACGCTGAGGGTAATTAACTAAGAGATTGAAAATTATACCATTACATACACCCTTGCTGTTTATCACGTAATCATTGAATAAAGATAAAGAAGAAAAAAATATGATTACAACTTCCAGAACTGCTGATGTTTACGCTGTGCGTTAATAGTACATATACAGCCTCAGTCACTGATTATCGTTTAGGCGATGAGAATATTTTGGGTTATTGAAAGCTTAAGAATTGAATTGAATATGCAACCTGTCCGAAATGCATACATTTAATTTTGCTTCCTAACAAAAATACTTCAAAATTTAATAACTTGAAAGCGAAAAGCATCATGTCGTTGAGTGTACCGTCGTAGACGCTGTTTTTTCCTCTTTCTGTATGTGTATATGTTAATTTGAGGTAAGCGATAGATGTTTCCTACTGAGAGAAAATGGAAATTGTTTTTTCTTGCAGGGCTGACGGATATAGATAAACTCTAATAACGTTTGACTAGCCGATGTGCTTCACTGTCCAAACCAAGCGGCTGGCGAGACAAAATCTCAGCATTTATCCCACTGACTTCTGTTTCACCTGTCTTGAGGTGGAAGCTGTATTCAAGTTATCTTCTGTTGGTGGTCTCCCTTACTTAATGCTGCAACATGGTAATTCGTATTTGAGTCACAAAGTCAGACAAGCTGTCGAATTGTAACCAGACACACATGCAGGAAATTATTTGAGTGGTTTTGATCTTTCATAGTTGTTGACAAGGATACTGCTCCAAAGAGCTCGAGGTGCATCACTTGGTTGGATCAAAACGGAATACTCCATCGAGGGCCCGAGAAGTTCCAGTTTGCTGGAGGCGTGAGTGCATAAAAGACAACAGAAAGCACCTTTACAAATCGGTGTCAAATCGAAGTTTAACAAATATACTATTTGCGCATACACTGATTTTAGCGCGCCTGCGGGAACAAATCAGAGAGTTTAAATGGCTTTAGCATCGGCGTCAAGTATGTGTTCAAACATTGGTCATCCAAAAGCTCTCTCATACTTTACAGCCTCCTTTTCAGTTTTCCTAATAATTTTGATTATTCCTGGAAACTTTCTAGTCTGTTTGGCCATCATAAAAGATCCCTTCAGAAACTTGAAAACACCTTTTAACTATTTCCTGTTAAGTCTAGCGGCCACTGATCTGATTGTGGGAACGATTCTGGATCCCGTGTCAGTTGCTTTTCACACCAGCGAAGCGCTTCAACTTGACAGCGTAGATATCAAAATCTTTCACACTTTATACTTTATCTTGTGCACGTCGTCTATTCTAACACTCATGGCACTTACCGTAGACAGATATGTGGCCGTATCGTCGCCAGTGAAGTACAGAACAATGGTTACCTCCAAGCGCGCTATTTTAACATCCCTGTCAATTTGGGTGGCGGCACTAGGGTTTTCTTTCGTTTACTTCCAACTCGGATTTATATTCTACTCCTTCATATTTGCAAACACTGCTGTTCTCAGCACGTTTGGGGTTATCATCTTTGTTCATGTAGGAATACTTAAACGACTGCGACAAAGATCGAGATATTGGCGAAAGAGGAGAGCAATGGAGAGCACGAAGTCTGATGTACAGGAGAACCAAAGAAATCTTATCAATGCAAAGAAGGACAGCAAAGCAGTCAAAGCATTGATGATTGTGCTTCTTGCATCTTTTGCTACATTCACACCAGCCTGTGTTATGATTTACTTGTTAAATTTTTGCTCAGGCTGTAGTTGTGTGCTGATTCATTGGTTGCGGGATTTGCAATTCTTAATTGTGTTGTGCAACTCTGGTATCAACCCTTATTTATACGCATGGAGGCTTCCTCAGTTCAAAAGAGCTTTCTACAAATTCCTTCATCTCAAGGTACGCACAAGGATAAGTGACATTACCACGACAACAGTTTATGCCGCTGGCAAACGAGAAACCAGCCAAATACCTAAAACTTTAAGCGGTGGAGACGAAAGGATTTCAACCGTTTAATAAAACTATACAAACACAAATACACTCACAAAGAAAGAGTGTCCTTTCTCATTTGTATCTCGGTGTATGCATATCATTGACATTGCCTTAACTAATAATTTAATGAGTAATAAGATTTAGTAAGTCTAAGAAAGATAATCGTGTGATATTTTCATGTATTTTTTTGTGTTGTGAAAGTAAAATGTTTAAGGGGATTGCGGAAACTCTTAGTCTCAGAAATTTATCACCATTACCACTTAGAAAGGACCATCGAACTTAGTTATTTATTTGCTTTCGAGTCGGATTTCGAACGATGAACCAAACATTAAATTCGTTTCCTCATTTTATCAGCAGCGATTAAATGAAGTAAGTAACGTTTAAACCCATATGGAGTCCACACACACAGCGTTGTAACGAATGATGATGAATACGCGGACCACAATTTACAGAGCAGTCCACAAACGCAGTTTCCTAATATATCAATGACGATTGCCTTTATCATTTTAGACCCTAAAGTGAAGTGGTTTCTGTAATATCTTTCAGTTTCAAATACTCATTCTCTGTAAACGGCTTTAACTACCACTACTACATGAACCCATATCAAACTCATGGGGTACAAATAGTCTTAACATGAATGTAGTGACCACGCCCACTTCAACACCCCACTCAAATCGAGTGTAATTTTCGAATGTTTTACCATCGTGCGGATTCTCTACGGAAAAAGCACTCAATGTACCTCTGAAATATTAAACTATAATATTGTGGCTTTCTATTTCGCTAATTTTCTAACTTGAAGGTAAAGTTTTTCCCTCGTCATTTTTACCTTTTCTCCGAGCGGTTGCGTGAAATTAACAAGGCGTTTTTGATCAAAACACGACCGAGCGAAGGGTCTCGGGCGATATCTCTTTTACGCAGGCGCAAATTAAAAATGTACCGCCAGAATCAAACAGAGGAACAAATTTCCTTTGTTTTGAAAGGTAAAGTGTCGAACAAAAAGCAGATTTACCCTCGTCAAATGACGTTTCAAAACAGCTGTATCTTCCTCCTTTTGATCTTTTCCTGTTTTGTAAGCGTGAAAGCAGTAGGAGAGGGATGGGGAAACTCAGAAAGCGCTTCGGGAATTAATCTGCCATCGTTTGCTTACAAGATAAACAAGTAAGATTTGTGAAGTTCGTTGAAGTATGAAGTCTAAATAAATGCCTTTTTTTAAGCTTGTTTGCTGGATTTTTCGTAAACTTCCTTGATTAATTTTTCGTTTCAGCTTACTAATCTATACTACTTCAAAGCAATTTAAAGATGAAGACGGAGAACCAAAAGTCGGTCCTTTCAACAATCGTAAACAAAGTGTTTGAACAGTCAGGTATACGAGGTGTAATAATCAATAGCCGCATATCAGAAGTCTTCAGAAAGAAAGTATTCTGTCTTCAGAAAGCTGTCAAGAAAGCTAGTGATCGTGGTGGAAGGCAATTAAATACACTTCTTAGCAAGTTGGAAACGGGCCCTCGGTATCGATTTAATATCATATCGATCTCAATACCATACAGTTTTGTATCTTTTGTCCGTAGATTCGCCTTTCTAACGAGGGTGTATGTTGAGTATTCATTGCAAAATCGCTTTGTATTTTTTTATTTCCCTCTTTGGCTTGTCCGCCATTTTGAAAATTTCGCAACGGACAGCATGCGCATTACATGGGGTTAGTGGTTGCGTACACCTGGAACCGAGAAAAACAAATGTTCGTCGCACTGGGGAAAGAGTTTGATATGCTGCTCGAAACATAAAGATCTAGCTACTTCCTATGAAAGCTTTTCTGGAACAAAAAAATTAAATAAAATTGATGTAATATTTTAAAAATAATTGGATTGTTGGTGCAGGAAGTATTAAACATGGTATTAAGTTGCATTATTTAGAGCGCCAATATGGCGCGTATTTAAAATTTATCAGAATGGGTGGTATAAGATTTCGGAAAAACTTGCAGATATTTCAATTTTGCTTCCTCGTCTGCCATATTTTGTTCTTTGTTCAGGTAAAACAGACGACAAGCAAATTTTGATGGGAGTCGATTCTGTTTAACTTTGATTTCTCTTTCGTTTATTTCTTTAATCAGTGATAGAAGAGCGCAGACTTAGCTCTTGTTAATTATGTTGCCTTTTAATTTACGAACTATTGACGTGATTAAATTTCCTCATGGAGCCAATGGGCTGATTGTGACTGCTCCATGTGGTTCCAATTCATCTGCAGATTCGGAGATGACTGTGATACGAGAGTTGTTCTTAAATACCATATGCCATAAAATCTTTACAACAGACTTTGTCCGTGCGCTATTGCCAGAATTTTCCATGCACAAAGTACATTAGAGGTTGCCCAGTTCTCATTCCGTAATGCACGAGGTGAGTTTTATCCAACTTAAAATGCAATTAATTTAACTCCTCAACTTATTATCAGTCGGCGGGTAAGTTAGTAACAACCTAACGCTATATCAGGGTTTAGAATACAGGTTGACTCTCTTTTTTAGATCATTGTCAACATTTCATTAATATTATCGAATCATTCTAAGTTACCCATTTAAATGAATTTGATGATCTTGCAGTGTCCGTTTAAGTTCTGTTCGTTTTATGGACGGCAGGAAAAGGCAATCAAAAAGGCTTTTTTCTGTGCAACTTGAGGAGTGTCTGGTGGGATGGCGTACGCTCATCATCTGTTGGCACTGTTTTCTCTAAATCTGAAGACTCTACCAATAATCCACGATTCAATTTTAGCATGCCCTGGAAAGAAAGAAAAAATGTGGCATTCAACTCACGTTACAAACAGAAATATTAATCGATAACACTGCATTATTATTACCACTAATCTTAAAAAAAAATTGGAGCCAAAAAAAAGAAGGTTGGTAAGCCATCGTGAAGCTGCCAACGAAGACTGAAGGTTCTTTCAGTGAAAATCATTTTGAATTCGTAGCCCACAATTGAAGTGTCGACCCTCATTTTAAAGCCCGCCGGTGAAATATCGATTCGCCAGTAAGGGTAAAAATATGGGTTTTCTTTGAGTTTATTTCGGCTTTGTTCCAGCGTCTACATAAAAAATGAAAAAACCAATATGAAACTTGGTGCGCCATAATCTACATTTTTGCACTTGAATTCGACAAACTTACCGAGAAAATTAATCTTGTCCTAATCAACTCATCAGTTTAAGTCGACATAATCATATTCGGGTAGGAAGGAGGATGGCGAAAGGCGATGAAAGTTACTAGGACGGATTTAAAATTACACAAATAAAATATTTCGTCTATGAATGCACTGAATACTTCAAAGAAGACTGTGTCCCACTGTCACTCATGATCAATAACCGAAAAAACGATCTCATCTCAGTCAGCCAGACATGTATTTCCCTCTGAGTTTTCGATCTCTTTGACAGAGTTTTCGTTCTTTATGGCAGAGCCTTCGCTCGTAATAGCAGAATCTTCGCTTGTTATGACCGAACCTTCTGCATTCATGGCAGATCCTTCCTCTTTATCTCTTACTCTCAACATGTTTAATGGATTACGTCCGATAAGTTCAACAGAAAGTCCAAAAATAAGACCAATGTATGCAACGAAGACCAGGAACTGTACAAACGGCGTCACGTCCATGTTGAGGATGGGTAAAATCATGTTTTGTACCTTTGCAGGAGATTTTTAGGATTTGTTTTGACCACAGGCTTTAAAATTTATGCAGAAACGGGTTTTTCTAAAACTTGGCAGCCGTTATGATGCACATTTCAAATTGAACGCGAACCGGGAGAGGGTGCATTCATTTTAATTTTATAGAGAGGCAGGGGTGGGGTTTCCTACCCGGAGATTCAAATACTTCTTCCTAATTGACGAAGAACTACTGAGCAACTCGATATATATATTTCGCATATGTGTACTTTCCTTGTAGTATGGGGTGCTTTTCATCTAAATTCAGTAAATCAACACAACACTTAAACGTCTTGCAGTAGCATGAAGAGGGGAAATTAAAAGTGTTTTCTATACATTTCAGTTTTTCTTTTGCAACATTTGTAATGTTCAATTTAAAGCGTCAGTTGCAGCTTTCCTTATTGTTTTCCTTACCGCAGCCCTTCAAACCCCTTTCTCTATATACCTTTAGCCTGAAAGTGTCAAACTTTCTAGAGGTGCAACCCTGTATACAGTTTATCGTATGTACTCCCCCCTTCTCTTGACGAAAGGCATAGAAAGTAATATTTGGTAACCTCATAGAGAAGTGTTATTAGAATGCCTTCTCCGTTGAGAGATATTAGTTTACTTTAAACAGTAATTTTGAAGCAAGCTCATGGGTTCGAATACGAGATTCATTACCTACAGTGGCTTGGTTAAAATTGACAGGGAAGAAATGATATTTGAGTTTGCCATGATGTCTTCAACAGGTACCAGCAGCTTGATTCTTAAATATTAATTCACTGAAATGCAAATTTTTAGTACCCTCTTTTGAATCATTAAAGCAAGGAACGCTTAAATCGTAACTGTTGTGTGTTTTGCCGTTCACACCGTGGTTTACCTTTTTTAAAAATAAAAAGGCCACTTTTTCGATGAGAATTTTGCAAAATTGTATAATTCCAGTGACATGTCGCTTCACCATAGACACTGTTTGCATTATTGTTATTTTCATCTTCGTTACAATCAATATTGAAATATTGATTTAACAATATTGATGAAATACGATAAGAGAAATGGCCAACCATATTATTGCGATTGTTTTGTCTTGTTGAGTAGGCTCAGTTAAGCTTTGTCAGGATTAAAACCGATTTGCAACGGAAAGAAAGAACAAAAAATTGAGGAAATATGTTATAATAATGGTCTAAGAGCGCGTAATTTTGTTATTTATTTATTTGTTTGTTCATTCATTCTTTTTTTTTTTTTTTTTTTTTTTTGCGGATGTCTTGTCTCTCGCGCAACGCAGTGCTATAGAAAACCATTATGCTGACGTAAGCCAGTCCGGATAAAGCCGCTCGGTCATGCACTCGCGCAGCTTTGTCGACGCTTTTTAAAAAAACGTGAAATTTTAACGAGGAGGCTTTAGCAGGCCGCTGCATGTTTTCCCTTTTAATTCCACTGGCTGGGAGGTTATGGCGCATGGATAGCTAAGATCAAATCACAAGAGGAATTATGTTACTAAGCAGAGCTACCTTAATGTCGTATTAAAATAAAAGGCACCAAAATAAAATACACCATTGGCAGCCGACTAACATGCTATATTGCCGGGACGCATTGCAATTCGACACACGATTCGTGCAATATCGTTCGTTCGATCTTATCCGTTAGTGTGAAATTTAACGTGAAATTCTCCGCAGTAGATGATGATATAAATTTCATTTTATGGTTAGATGTTGATAGTTCTGATGCCTGTCAGCCAGCCATCAGTCTTAACACGTGTTGACATAGACGGCCGACATCTATCGAAACCGCCCACATTTGAGTATGCCAAAAAAGACTACCGGCTGCAGGGAAAGAGGTTATGTAAAATAGTTTGAGCTTATCCCAGCCTGCTTACATTCTTCAAGACGTTAACTTTTTTATAGCTCTGTAGCTCAAACCGATAGGGATTTGTTGCCGTTCTATGATTCTTTAAATTAAAGACCAGTATCATGCCTTTCTTCTATGGTGAAACGAAAATGACTGCGGCAGCTGTGCAAGCGGAAAGATTCCAGATGTTTACTTGGAGATGCACCAGACTCAGTAAATTGTGAATAGAAATTTACTGCGAATTACAGGGGCAATAACTCGTGTTTAACTAAACATCAATATAAAGGCCTCGAGATAAACCCTTTCACTCTAAAGATCTTATTAATAATTTTCCTTTCTGTCTATCATACAATTTTTTATGATGGTAATTTGGAGAAATTGGTATTGGGTCAGCTGATAATCCGCTTAAATTATATTTTCCCTATTCTCATGAGTTGTTTGTTTGATATTGCATTGAAATCGTAAGGAGAAAATGTGTCGTGGTCAGTCATGGGAGTTAAAGGGTTAAAGAGTCTTCACACTACCCTGGTGGGCCACTTAACATATTAGGGCTCAACAACAAATAGAGCGAATCGTACATATTCACCATATGGACCACAGCCTTTATTGAATTCAAACAATTTATAGATTTTCATAGAATATAATATTGATGATAGCGGCTAAAGCATCTACATCTCAGTTTCATCATTTAAGAATGAAATTATGCTTTAACTTCAAGTTAGCTGTGTAGTCTTCACTGCAGTGAACCTATTTCTTTTGTTCCATTCCACATCTCAGCTCACGGGCTCGTGAGCAAATTTCTCTCCTGTACTGTTGCTCACGTTTTGCCTACAAAGATTCAACAAACATAATCTTAAAATTTCTCACCAAATTTATTCGAAAACAAAGAAATAAAAAAAAACAAGACCGTTAAGCTCTGACGAATAGTTGGAGTAAAATGCATGAAAAGAACCGAATGACTTCTTCCTCCAATTCAACTATTTGGATACTGACTAAACCAGACAAACCGAAGAGACAATAGATTAAAAACCTGTACTTACCTCCTCCAAGCGTCTACGGATGTTCATCTTCATCATTTCCAAATTTCCAGCCTCTCCGTTATCTCCAACATTTTCCGTTGAAGATTTTTTAGGCTTGTCCTAAAAGAATTTAAAGCGGCTTTTAGTGCGAAAAATTAATGAGTTGAACAACCAGGATCATTCAACAATGACATGAATGAAATGATAAAGAAAAAACATTATTGAAAGATTCCAGCTCATTTTGACATGACTTAATACATAGATAAGGTATTTCTACTCTCACTAATAAGTGTTCGTTATTGAAAATTCTCCTTTTGAAAAGAAAAACATTGCCATTCCTAATCGAACCACTCAGAAAATTCAACTCAAATTAAATATTAACACCATCTAAAACATTTTAGATGGATTGAAAACGAAAGAGATTTCTACTTATTCATGTACTTTTTTTCCATCGCAATCACCAGGCGCAATGCAGAGATTATTAAGTATGCTGCCCTCAACTAACATCGAAGAAAGGAACAGAGCAAAAACACAAAGTGCTGTAGTCTTCATCTCGCTGACACAAGCTTCAGTGAATGAAAAGTTCTGGTGTGTATATTAATCGCCGGCGATCCAAGATGTTTGCAGCTGTATAGAAACGTTTTACCAGCTCAGCTCGGAGATAATTAACTACTTTCTCAGTCGGCATTCTTCACAAATATGCGTCAGTCAAAATGTGCCATAGTTTATTTGATAACGGGATTTTAATCAAGCTGTCCAGTTTGCCTTATTGGCAGAAGTCAGTTCCACCATCCAAAAATGCGCAAAATATTTACTTCGCTGTATAAACTGAATAACCTTAGATAGATGTTTTGTGAAGACAAAGAAAGTTAATGAGGTGAAACCAACTATGAGTAACATGACGACCGAGTTACGTCATTGGCTAAACGGCAGTTGAGGTCCTCTCGGCTGGCCGCATCATGCTATTCGCTTGCTTTCCATAATGACAACGGAGGAGGCCATAATAACAACGCTGCTGACGGATTTTTCTTGGTTCAAATAAATCGCACTATTTAATGTTCAAACTCATGTGCCTCTAATGTAAGATTTTGTTGCTTCCCGAAAGATATATGACACCGTGAAGGGTTTTCGCGCTGACTTATATACTTCCGTATATTTCAAGTTGTCATAGGCTATTGTCAAAGAACATTGTTGCTGACTTTCTATGAGGGTATTTTCTAGATGTCGCGATCAGAAATGATTTTTCGTCTCTTTCTTGATCAAAGTGAATTTCTTGGCCGGGAAGGATTGCGGAACATTTTGGGTTTGTTTACGCGCTTGTTGTGACAGAATTAACTGAAGATTAGCGGCAAGGTTGTAGAATACCTCCTTCGAAACACAGCTGTCCGGCCTTTTTCATTTGCCTTTATTTTCAAAGTTAAGGCTACTTTTGTTTAAAAGGGTGTAGAAATAAAAATCCGCCGCTGTCATTAAGTCTAGCAACTTCTTTATATATTACTGCGACATTAACTTTTAAGAATAGTTTTAATAGTTTATTTTTTCATATAGCTTTTGAGCTCTCTGGAAATGTATAGATAGATAAAAGTTATTTTCTAGGCGAAAGAGCGAGTTTCTTATGCTGTCAAACTTACAATCCACCTACGATGATTCCCTAACTTTTTTTCCTCCGCGAAAATTTATCTACATATCAACTCTGAATGCTATAAGTTATAGAATAGTGTGACTAGATCGTAAAAGTCACGATTTGCACTGATGGAATGAATAATTAATTTGACATTAAACATCTTTTATTTCTTTCTTCTCTGTTCTAATTTTGATTTTATCATTTTGTTACCCAACAAAATCGACTGCTTTGCAAAATAACGATTTCTGCTGGTAGCTAAATATTTTTCCACTCGTTTCTTCAGCTGTACGATTTTCATTTAACCAGGTGCAGTTCGCATTAGCATCTTTTAGTGAAGTTCTTCCTCTCATGCAAATGAAACCCCTTAAATATAGAAACTTCCGAAAAAATTTTCGTTGGAAACTAGCCTTCAAAACGTAGTCATTTCAAGCTGTTCTGTATCGCGGCCGAATGTAATTGGTTGGAGCTTGAGTTACCGCTCAATATTTACCTGGGACTTCTCAAAGAAACTTATTCAAAGTAATTTTTAACATTCTTCGACGAACAAAAAATTTTAAGATTGTGAATATTATTATTATGGTGATTAACTCCTTTTGAGCTACCTCTACAGAAAGAGAAAAAAACTTGAATACCCTAGGAAGTGTTAAAATCTAGCATGCGCACGAGGAATATAGCCTTGTGTCATATCTGCAAGGAAATAAAAGAACGTTACTCGAGAATTTGATGATAACCTGAATACGCTATTTTGGCGAAAATAGATAAAGCTGGTCATACGAAATTTACATGTCTAGCATATCTTATGCCTTCCTTTTTTTCGAAAAATTGCAGAGCTACAAGCTTGCATAATAAAAACCATCGCAAAACTTGAATACCCTAAGTGTTGAAATCTAGCATGCGCACGAGGAATATAACCTTGTGTCATATCTGCAAGGAAATAAAAGAACGTTACTCGAGAATCTGGTGTTAACCTGAATACGCTAATGTGGCGAAAATAGATAAAGCTGGTGACACGACATATACATGTCTATCGTGTCTTATGCCATCCTTAGTTTTTTTTGAAAGTTTGCAAAGCTACAAGCTTCCATAACAAAAAGCATTGCATCTCTTATGACGCCTTTCTGCTTGGACACGTATCTCATGTAAGCTGAAAAGAGAAAATGAGATAAAAAAAAGATCAAAAATGAAGTAATAAAATGCTTGTTGTTTCCCCTCTGACGATACTTTTGTACACTGATGTTCATGAAGGTTGACCGATGAATAATCTTTCACATGTACTAAATGGTAAAGTTACTCACACTTCAATTAGTTAAGGTATTTATGGTCCATTAGTATTGGCATTAACAGCTCGCTGTATTCCGAGCAACTACTCACGGTTTTTTTTTTAGTTTTATTTCAAGAAGAGTAGCTCTGGGCCAATATGCTATGTGATAGAACAGAACTTAGAATTTCCTTTCTTGTTTGAATTCAAACATTTTATTTTCACGATAAACAATTCTGTAGCTTAAATAAACTGGTGCTTCTTCCGGTTTGCGAAACTCGAATGATATTTTCACATAACAACTACTATTAGATCAGCACTATGTCTGATACTTTTTTAAATTATTTTTTTTTATTCTCATTCAGTTCCCTCTTGTATGACATACATAAACTGTGTGCAGCTCTCATTAGCATTTTTTCATGAAGTTCTTACTCTCCCGTTCACGCAATCAATAACATCTAGACAATTCGTATTCGCTAAAATCTACGGACATTACACGTAGCAAGAGTGTTAAGTTTTATCTTGCGGCTGCATACCGTGGCCGATTTGCTTCGGTGGACCCTGGAAAATCGTTCTGTGTTTCCTTAAGACTGCTCAAAGTAACTCAGTTAGGGGAATCTTGTTATAATCACCGAAAATATATAACAAAAAAGACATCGTGTCAATAACACCTGAAAAAAAATTGATGGGAACGAAATATTTACTGACACGAGGAAGACGTGTTTCGCAACTAACGCCATTTCAGTATTCAGTTTTTTTCAATTTTGAAGTATTTCAGTCTTTGAATTCTGTGTAGACAGACAATTTATTTGGAGTAAAAACGAGATTTCAGAAAACGCAAAAGCTTTCATGATTTCCACCTACTTGAATACGTAGCTATTGTAAGCTAGCAAGACAACAAAAAGGAAAAATAGATACGAACTGATAGGAAACTTGTAACCCAATTGATACAAATTTAAATTTTCTCCTTTTTTTGCGATCAGAGCGTTCTGTGGACTGATGTAAAATCGGCTTGTCGATCAAATGATCTTCCTTTTGAACTAAAATGTACATTTGCTGACGCTGCGAGTAAGTTAAGGGCCATCTTTAATAGCTCAATATTCATGGTCCACGTGAGGTTGCTGATTCCGATACTGAAGTATAAAATTTCAAGACCTCCTAAATTCCAACCATCGCCTTATCGTAACAGTTTCGTATTCAGTTCCCTTTTATCCCGCACTCAGACCCAGTCCATGTCGCATGTTCGTCTCTAGTTCCCCAAGCAAAAATCGCTCTTCCCTCATTACTTTAACTTTATCTCAAGAAGAACTGCCTTAGTGCATTGACTAAGTGATCTTTCAATGGTAATTAAAAGTGTTTCTTTCTTTAGGATGGTTGGATCATTAGGTGCTTCGGTGAAACAAACGCAGCAGTATCTTTGTGTTGCTATTCTTTTTGTTTCTAAGTGGCCAGACCACCAAAGCGGTTTGATGCCTCACAACACACAAGCCTGAAGGGCTCAATTGAAGATTTCATATGAAGTCGAGCTCATTTCAGGAATTAATTCCCAGTTATACAGAAATACTCCTCAAGCATTTCATGCACTTATTAACGCAGTTGGAGGGAAACTGTTAGATATTTGCATTAAATCGTTCGACATAGGAGCTCTCTGAGTGGACCACTGGAAAGTTCTGAAGGCCTTATCTTTCAAAATGAGACTTTTATTAGCGCAAAACCTTTCATGTGATAAATTTCCATTTCATTAATAAGTTTCTGATTTTCATTGTAAGGTGAAGCTTTTTATTGAGCAGCGAGCCTTTCACAAGTGAGAGATTTTTCGCTCAATTACAGATGAAGGTGTATCGAAGCAAATCTAAAAGTGAAGCGTATCACAAAGTGAAAGGAATTGTCAAGCCAGCTTATCATTATTCAGCCTGTTAATCACAAAACTACGTACAAATTATCTTCATTTATTTCCTCTGGGTCATCCGTAAAACTTTTAATAACATCTTTATCTGGCCATGTAAACCTGTTTATTTCCTCCCCACAACGTGAAGTTTGAATCGCGTTTTTACAGTTTCCCGTCGTGTTCTTGTTCGTCTCTTATCTTTTTAAGAGAATGTCCTCACTGAGCTGTTTTAGCACCATCGTTCTATAACAGATTCAGTTTTTCCCCGCCTTCATTCACGGTGCGGCTTTCGGCGGATTGCCTAAAACACAGATATAAAAAGACCAAACAGAAACTAAACAAACAGTCAAATAAACACGAAGATTGTTAGGAAAATCATTCAGTCGTGGAAGTCATTAAGATAAGAAGTAGATGCAGTATTAAGTGTGTGAAATGCCCACTATAAGCTTTCAGGAACAAAGCATGAACAAACGAACAGAATTTGAAACGAGTTTCAGACTTTAAAAATCTTTCAAACTTTTCTTTCAACTTCCCAAGTGTTTACATCAGGCTATGTGAACACGGAAACCATTTTACATCTCTTTTATAAAATAACTAATGAAAGAGGAACGAAAACCGTGTTTACATACGCTCATGTAAAATGGTTTTATGGCCAATCAGAGCGCGCGTACTGTTTGAATTATTTTATAATGAGTAGTAATGTATATACCTATCATACTGAATTTAAACTATGAAAAAATAATCTGAGGTCATGTCGCTTCCTATAGAAGAGCATGATTCAGCAATAAGTATTCCATACTCAAGTTTCGATCAAAGCATAATATCCTGACTTTAGGCTTTTTTGGTATTTTTTCGGTGTATTCGTACTGTGTGTAATCTATTCCTCTTGATCAACACGCGGCAGAATTCTCTCTTCTTCTTCTTTTTATTCTCCTGGCCGAAGCTCTTCAAAATCGTTATTATAATCGTTCTTTGTAAACGAGCATGATGACCTATCGTTTCTTATCTTTTGTTTGGATTTGGGGAAAACCTATATTTCTGTGATAGAAATGCAAACTAATCGCTAATTTATGAAAACAAACAATCGTCCAGTAAATTCATCTAATAATAGCACAGAAGTTTAGAACTCCTCGGTAAGTTGAAACTCGGTGATTGTGTTTGATCAGCTCTCTTCAAGATTGATCGTGACGGTTATTTCGTCCTCAAAATGGCTGCTCGTTTCGATATCTTATCTTATGTGGATTGCATTTCAGTTTCCAGTTTCTTTTCCTAATTATTTACCTCAATTTTACTTCAGCTCTCTCCGCAATAACCAACTTAACCGGTCCATATCGATATCTGCCTTTGTGATCAGAATATAAGACAACAAGGTTTTGGAAATTACCATTTGAAATAACTACAGTTATATCTAAACTTGCGTTTTTGTTCTTTCACCGTAAAATACGTTAGTTGCAAAAGCTTCTTAGCCCTTTTACTCCTTCAAAGAAAAAGACAAAAGAAGGAAAATTTGACCACTTTCTTTGCGCGATGAAGAAAGATTCGTTTTTTATTAATGTGTAAAACTTAAAGGGAAAGTTTACGCTATGAATAAAGGAAATTTTGTTTATCAGAATTGTTTTGACGATCATAGGTTTATCAAAAATATCGCACTCTACAATAAAGTTTAATCCAAATAAAGGAAATTCTTTATTCTGTTTTTTTCTTTCTCTTTTTTTTGTATGCTTTCCAGTTATTAGAAAATTTTGTAAGAAACTCTGAAAAGCAAGACCTCTAGATGCTATTGTCTTATAAATACCAAAATTCAGGATGTTCGTACTGCAAACATGTAGCGCCACGCTGAGGGCAATTAAATGGGAGATTTAAAATTATACCATTGCATCTTTGTTTGCTGTTTATCACGCAACCATCGAACAAAGCCAAATAAAAAAATATGATTACGACTTCCAAAACTGTTAATGTTTACGCTGTGTGTTAAAGAGATTTCACACCGCCCTGACCGCCACTTAAAATGTTAGGGCTCAACATCAAATAGAGCAACTCGTACATATTCACAATATGGACCACAGCCTCTATTGAATTCAAACAATTTATAGATTTTCACAGAATACAATTTTGATGACAGCGGCTAAAACATCTACATCTCAATTTCGTCATTTAAGAATAAAATTATGCTTTAACTTCAAGTTAGCTGTGTAATCTTCAGTACATTTCACATCCCAGCTCGCTGGCCTGTAAGCAAATGTCTCTCCGGAGAGAGACAAAGGCGACAGATTGGAAAGTTTACGCATGCTCAGATATAGATCTTGGCGACGTTCTATCTCATTACGTTGTGTTTTGTGACATAAAAAAATAGGGATCTTTCGAGCAAGATTTATCATGTTTCCTCCGGCGGAATTTCCTGAGATTTGGTGTACCGTTAAACTTATTTGTGCCCTTCCTGGTGCCTGTTGACAAAAAAAAAATTCATAAGACCAAATTTGAGATAGACGAAGAAAACACAAAATTGCAAATAGTGAGGAAACTGCCTTTGTAACCCCTTTGTTTAGGCTTTTAAATGTTGGGCAAGACAAGCGTCACAAATTGTGAAAATTTTGAGAGATTTCACCGAGGCAAATAGAAGAAAATCAAAGGCAAAGCCTAATTATCACTGACGAGCTCCATAGATCCTTAGCTCAATAACGAAAATCATTTTTACAATATTTAGTACAGCAAACGATAGTCTGAACCTTACTCATCGCCCTTTCGATTACTTTTAGTGATCTACAAAAGCGAAAAAATGAAAAGTTTTTAGAAGAATAATACGCTGGCGTGCGCGCCAACATTGAGAAAATACCCTATGGAACCTTCTTAAAAAGAAAAAAGTTGCCATTTTTAATCGAACTACTACTACAACTAAAATCAATAAGGCGAACTGTTTAAAATCATTTTATCGAAAAAAAAACCATGAAACATCTTAGATGGATTGAAACAAAATATTTCTTCTTATTTATGTTCGATTTTTCCCGTGCAATCCGCACTCCGACTGGGAGGAAAACCCATGCTGTCTTCAACTAACATCGAAGAAAGGAACAGTGCAAAAACACAGAGCGCTGAAGTCTTCATCTTGCAGACACAAGCTTCAGGGTATTAAAAGGTCTGGTATTTATAATAACCGCCGGCGATCCAAGATGTGTGCTGTTGTATAGAGAGGCTTTACCAGCACAGCTCGGAGAAAATTAACCACTCTCTCAGTTTGCACTCTTTACAAAAATGCGTCAGTCAAAATGTGCCTTAGTTTTTTTGATAAAGGGATTTTAATCAAGTTGTCCGACCCTGAAAAGCCAGATCTCTTGATGTTGTTTTCTTAGAGGAAAACATCAAAACTCACGATGTTCGTACTGCAAACATACGCCACGCTGAGGTTAATTAAATAGGAGATTGAAAATTATACCACGACGTCCTCGTTCGCTGTTTATCGCGCAATCATCGAATAAAGCCAAAAAAAAAAAATATGATTACAACTTCCAGAACTGCTAATGTTTACACTGTGTGTTAATAGTACATATACAGCCTCAGTCACTGATTATCCTTTAGGCGATGTGTATGGTTTGGGTTACCGAAAGCTTATGAATCGAATTGAATATGCAACCCGTCAGAAATGCATTCATTTAATTTTTCTCCCCAACAAAATTCTACAAAACTTAATTAACTTGAAAGCGAAAGGCGTCATGTCCTTGGGTGTACCGTCGTAGAAGCTGTTTTTTTTCATCTTCCTGCTTGCATATGTTAATTTTAGGTACTAATAGATTATTTCTACGGAGAAAAAATGAAAATTGTTTTTCTTGCAGAGTTGACGGATATAGATAAATTCTAGTAATATTTGACTAGCCGATGTGCATGACTGTCCAAAACAAGCAGCTGGCGAGACAAAAATCTCCTTACTTTTCAACTGACTTCTTTTTCACCTGTCTCGTGATGGAAGCTGTGTTTAAGTTATCTTCTGTTGGTGACCTCCCTGCAGCAACATGGTAATTCGTATTTGAGTCACAAAGTCGGCAAGCTGACAAATCATAGCCAGACACACATGCCGGAAATTTTTGAAATAATTTGATCTTTCATCGTTGTCGACAAATGTGCTGTTCCACAGACCTCTAAGTGCCTCATTTGGCTAGTTCGAAATGGAATATTCCATCGAGGGCCCGATAAGTTCCAGTTTGCTCCGAAACCGAAAAACAGAGGTGTGACTGTATAAAGGACAACAGAAAGCACCTTTACAAATCGGCGTCAAGTCGAAGTTTTAACAAATGCAATATTTGCTCATACATTGATTTTGCGGGTGCGGGAACAAATCAGAGAGTTTAGATGGCTTTAGCATCGGCTCCAAGTATACGTTCAAACATTGGTCCTCCATAAGCTCTCTCATACTTCACAGCCTCCTTTTCAGTTTTCCTGATAGTTTTATAACTATTCCTGAAAACTTTCCCGTTTGTTTGGCCATCATAAAAGAACCCTTCAGGAACTTAAAAAGGTCTTTTAACTATTTCCTGTCAAGTCTAGTGGCCACTGATCTGGTTGTGGGAACGATTATGGATCCCATGTCAGTTGCCTTTCACACCAGCAAAGGGCTTCAACTAAACATCGTAGATATCAAAATCTTGCACATTTTATACTTTATTTTGTGCACGGCGTCTATTTTAATACTCATGGCACTTACCGTGGAGAGATATGTGGCCGTATCGTCGCCAGTGAAGTACAAAACAATGGTTACCTCCAAGTGCGCTATTTTAACATCCCTCTTAATTTGGCTGGCGGCACTAGGGTTTTCTTTTGCATACTTCAAACTCGGATTTATATTCTACTCCTTTATATTTGCAAACACTGCTGTTCTCAGCACGTGTGGGGTTCTCATCTTTGTTCATGTAGGAATACTTAAACGACTGCGACAAAGATCGAGATATTGGCGAAAGAGGGAATAAATGGAGAGCAGGAAGTCTAATTTACTGGAGAACCAGAAAAAATCTTATCAATGCAAAGAAGGACAGAAAAGCAGTCAAAACATTGATGATTGTGCTTCTTGCATTTTTTGCTTCGTTCACACCAGCTTGTGTTATGATTTACTTGTTAAATTTTTTCTCAGGCTGTGTTGTGTGCTAATTCATTGGTTGCGGGATTTGTGCAACTCTGGTATCAACCCTTGTTTATACGCATGGAAGCTTCCTTGGTTTAAAAGAGCTTTCTACAAATTCCTTCATTTCAAGGCATGCTCTTAGATAAAGTGACATTACCACAACATCAGTTTATGCCGCTGGCAAACGAGAAACCAGCCAAATACCTAAGACTTTAAGTGGTGGAGACGAAAGGATTTCACCCGTTCAATAAAACTATAGAAACACAAACACACTCACAAAGATAGAGAGTCCTTTCTCATTTGTATCCCGTCGTATGCATATTATTGACATTGCCTTAACTAATAATTTAATGAGTAAGAAGATTTAGTAAGTCTAAGAAAGATAATCGTGTGATATTTTCATGAATTTTTTTGTGTTGTGAAAGTAAAATGTTTAAGGGGATTGCGGAAACTCTTAGTCTCAGAAATTTATCACCATTACCACTTAGAAAGGACCATCGAACTTAGTTATTTATTTTCTTTCGAGTCGGATTTCGAATGATAAACCAAACATTAAATTCGTTTCCTCATTTTATCAGCAGCGATTAAATGAAGTGGGTAACGTATGAACCCATGTGCAGTCCACACACAGCGTTGTAACGCATGATGATGAATACGCAGACCACAATTTACAGAGCAGTCCACAAATGCAGTTTTCCCAATATATCAATGACGATTACGTTAATCATTTAAGACCCTAAAGTGAAGTGGTTCTGTAATATCTTTCAGTTTCAACATTCTCATCAGTCGTTTGTAAACGGCTTCAACTGCCACTAATACATCAACCAGTGCTCGAAACATGAAGATCTAGCTAGCTTCTATAAAAGCTTCTCTGGAACAAAAAGATTGAAATAAAATAGATGAAATCTTTTTATAATAACTGGATTGTTGGTGCAGGAAGTATTAAAACATGGTATTAAGTTGCATTATTTAAAGCGCCGATGTGGCGCGTATTTAAAATTTATCAGAATGGGTGGTATAAGATTTCGGAACAACTTGTGGATATGTCAATTTTGCTTCCTCGTCTGTCATATTTTGTTCTTTGTTCAGGTAAAAAAGACGACAAGCAAATTTTGATAGGAGTCGATTCTGTTTAACTTTGATTTCTTTTTCGTTTATTTCTTCAATCAGTGATAGAAGAGCGCAGCCTTAGCTCTTGTTAATTATATTACCTTTTTATTTACGAACTATTAGAGTGATTAGATTTCTTCATTGAGCCAATGGGCTGATTGTGACTGCTCCATGTGGTTCCAATTCATCTTTAGATTTGGAGATGACTGTGATACGAGAATTGTTCTTAAATACCATATGCCATAAAACCTTTACAACAGGCTTTGTCCGTGCGCCATTCCCAGAATTTTCCATGCACAAAGTACTTTCGAGGTTGCCCAGTTCTCATTCCGTAATGCACGAGGTGCGTTTTATCCAACTTAAAATACAATTAATTTAACTCCTCAACTAATTGTCAGTCGGCGGGTAAGTTGGTAACAACCTAACGCTATACCAGGGTTTAGAATACAGGTTGACTCTCTTTTTAGATCATCATCAACATTTCATTAATATTATCAAATCATTCTAAGTTATCCGCTTAAATGACTTTGATTAAATTCCAGTGTCCGTTTAAGTTCTGTTCGTTTTATGGACGGCGGGAAAAGGCACTCTAAAAGGCTTCCCTTTGTGCAACTTAAGGATGTCTGGTGTGATGGCGTACACTCATCATAGGTTGGCACTTTTTTCTCTGAAGACGCTAGCAATAATCTCCGATTCAACTTTAGTATACGCTGGAAGAAAAGAAAAAATGTGGCATTTAACTCACATTACAACCAGACATAATAATCGATAACACTTTATCACTATTACCACTAATCTTGAGCATGAAAAAATGGGAGCCAAAAAAACGAAGGTTGCTGAGCCATCGAGCATTTGAAGCTGACAACGAAGACTGAAGGTTTTTTCAGTGAAAATCATTTCGAATTCGCAGCCCACAATCAGAGTGTCGACCCTCATTTTAAAGCCCGCTGGTGAAATATCGATTCGCCAATAAGGGTAAAAATATGGGTTTTCTTTGAGCTTATGTCGGCTTTCTCCCAGCTTCTACATAAAAAATGAAAAAAAAATATGAAACCTGGTGCGCCATAATCTACACTTTTCCACTTGAATTCGACAAATGTACCCAGAAAATTAGTCTTGTCCTTGTCGACTAATCGGTTTAAGTCAACATAATCATATATAGGAAGAAAGGAGGATGGCGAAAGGTGATGAAGGTTATTAGGACGGATTTAAAATGACGCAAATAAAATATTTTGTCTACGAACGCACTGAATATGGGTAGCTACTTCAAAGAAGACTGGGATATATCCCAGCCTGATGTCTCAATGTCACTCAATAACCGAAAAACGATCTCACCTCAGTCAGACAGACATGTATTTCCCTCTGAGTTTTCGCTCTCTTTGACAGAGTCTTCGTTCTTTATAGCAGAGCCTTCGCTCATTTCATTTTTTCTTTTGCAACATTTGTAATGTTCAATTTAAAGCGTCGGTTGCAGCTTTCCTTATTGTTTTCCCTACCGCAGCCCTTGAAACCCCTTTCTCTACATACCTTTAGCCTGAAAGTGTCAAGCTCTCTGGAGGTGCAACCCTGTCTATAGTCTATCGTAGGTACTCCCCCCTTCTCTAAGGAAAGGCATAGAAAGTAATATTTAGTAACCTGGTAGAGAAGTGTTATTAGAATGCTTTCTCCTCTGAGAGATATTCGTTTACTTTAAACAGTAATTTCGAAGACTGTTCATGGTTTCGAATACGAGATTCATTACTTACAGTGGCTCGGTTAAAATTGCCAGAGAAGAAATGATATTTGAGTTTGCAATGATATCTTCAACAGGAACCAGCAGCTAGATTCTCAAATATTAATTCACTATTATGCGAATTTTTAGTACCCTCTTTTGAATCATTAAAGCGGCAACGCTTAAATCTGCTTTGTGGTTTACACCGTGGTTTACCTTTTTTAAAATAAAAAGGCCACTTTTTCAATGAGAATTTTGCAAAATTGTATAATTCCAGTGACGTGTCACTTCACCGTAGACACTGTTTGCATTATTGTCCCCATGATCTTCGTTATAATCAATATTTGCATCATCATGCGTTTGCTAGTTAAAAAAGATGAACGACGATGAGAGAAATGGCCAGCCATATTATTGCGGTCGTTTTGTCTTGTTGAGTGCACTCAGTTAAGCTTTGTCACAATTAAAACTAATTTGCGACGGAAAAAAGAATAAAAAATTGAGGAAATATGTTATAATAACGGTCTCAGCGAAAGCACCCCATTCTTCTTTGTCTTTCGATTTTAGTATCTCTAAGAGCGCTTAATTTTTATTTATTTATTTATTTGTCCATTTCTTTTTATATAAAATAGTTATATAAAATAGTTTGAGCTTATCCCAGCCTGATTACATTCTTCAAGACTTTAGCTATATATGTATAGCTCTGTAGCTCAAATTGATAGGGATTTGTTGCCGTTCCATGATTCTTTAAGAGGCCAATATCATGCCTTTCTTCAATGGTGAAACAAAATGACTGCAGCAGCTGTGCAAGCGGAAAGATCCCTGATGTTTACATGGGGATGCACCGGGCTCATAGTAAATTGCGAATAAAAATTTACTGCGAATTACAGGGGCAATAACTCATGTTTAACTAAACATCAATATAAAGGCCTCGAGATAAACCTTAACCCTAAACTACCGTTTAGCCAATGACATAACTCGTTTGTTATGTTTCTCATAGTTGGTTTCACCTTATTAACTTTCTTTGCCTTCGCAAAATATCGGGGTGAAAATAAAAATAAAGTATAAAATGTGTAAGATTTTGATATCTACGATGTTAAGTTGAAGGCCTTCGCTGGTGTGAAAAGCAAATGACACGGGATCCATAATCGTTCTTACAACCAGATCAGTGAATATCAGATCAGAAATACTACAAAACTTAATTAACTTGAAAGCGAAAGACGTCATGTCGTTGGGTGTACCGGCGTAGATGCTTTTTTTTTTATCTTCCTGCATATGCATGCATATGTTAATTTTAGGTACTGATAGATACTTTCTACTGAGAGAAAATGAAAATTGTTTTTCTTGCAGGGCTGACGGATATAGATAAATTCTAACGACGTTTGTCTAGCCGATGTGCATCACTGTCCAAAACAAGAAGCTTGCGAGACAAAAATCTCATCATTTATTCAACCCCCTTTTTTTCACCTGTCTTAAGGTGGAAGCTGTGTTCAAGTTATCTTCTGTTGGTGACCTCCCTCGCTTTATGCAGCAACATGGTAATCTGTATTTGACTCAAAGTCGGACAAGCTGACGAATCATAGCTAGACACACATGCCGAAAATTTTTCAAATAATTCGATCTTTCGTAGTTGTCGACAAATGTACTGTTCCAGAGACCTCTAGGTGCCTTATTTGGCTTGTTGGAAAAGGAATATTCCATCGAGGGCCCGAGAAGTTCTAGTTTGCTCCGAAACCGAAAAACAGAGGCGTGACTGTATAGAGGACAACAGAAACCAACTTGAAAGCGAAAGACGTCATGTCGTTGGGTGTACCGGCGTAGATGCTTTTTTTTTTATCTTCTTGCATATGCATGCATATGTTAATTTTAGGTACTGATAGATACTTTCTTCTGAGAGAAAATGAAAATTGTTTTTCTTGCAGGGCTGACGGATATAGATAAATTCTAACGACGTTTGTCTAGCCGATGTGCACCACTGAGAGAGCCCGAGAAGTTCCAGTTTGCTCCGAAACCGAAAAACAGAGGCGTGACTGTATAAAGGACAACAGAAACCACCTTTATAAATCGGCGTCAAGTCGAAGTTTAAGGAATGCAATATTTGCTCATACGTTGATTTTGATGCTCGTGTGGGAACAAATGAGAGAGTTTAGATGGCTTTAGCATCGGTGTCAAGTATGTGTTCAAACATTGGTCCTCCAAAAGCGCTCTCATACTTCACAGCCTCCTTTTCAGTTTTCCTGATAATTTTAACTATTCCTGGAAACTTTCTCGTCTGTTTGGCCATCATAAAAGATCCCTTCAGGAACTTGAAAACGCCTTTTAACTACTTCCTTTTAAGTCTAGCGGCCACTGATCTGGTTGTGGGAACGATTATGGATCCCGTGTCAGTTGCTTTTCACACCAGCGAAGGGCTTCAACTAAACATCGTAGATATCAAACTCTTGCACATTTTATACTTTATTTTGTGCACGGCGTCTATTTTAATACTCATGGCACTTACCGTGGAGAGATATGTGGCCGTATCATCGCCAGTGAAGTACAAAACAGTGGTTACCTCCAAGCGCGCTATTTTAACATCCCTGTCAATTTGGTTGGCAGCATTAGGGTTTTCTTTTGCATACTTTCAACTCGGATTTATATTCTACTCCTTCATTCTTGCAAACACTGCTGTTCTCAGCACGTTTGGGGTTATCATCTTTGTTCATGTAGGAATACTTAAACGACTGCGCCAAAGATCGAGATATTGGCGAAAGAGGAGAGCAATGGAGAGCACGAAATCTGATGTGCAGGAGAACAAAAAAAATCTTATCAGTGCAAAGAAGGACAGAAAAGCAGCTAAAGCATTGATGATTGTGCTTCTTGCATTTTTTTCTTCGTTCACACCAGCCTGTGTTATGATTTACTTGTTAAATTTTTGCTCAGGCTGTAGTTGTGCGCTAATTCATTGGTTGCGGGATTTGCAATTCTTAATTGTGTTGTGCAACTCTGGTATCAATCCTTATTTATACGCATGGAGGCTTCCTCAGTTCAAAAGAGCTTTCTACAAGCTTCTTCATCTCAAGGCACGCACGAAAATAAGTGACATTACCACAACGTCAATTCATGCCACTGGCAAACGAGAAACTAGCCAAATACCTGAAACTCTTTGCGGTGAAGACGAAAGGATTTCATCCGTCTGATAAAACTTTACAAACATAAACACATAATAATTTGCATTATTAAAGCACCTAAATATAGTGCGTATTTAAAATGTATCAGAATGGGTGGTAAAAGATTTCGGAACAACTTACTCTTATTTCTATCTACAAACATTACGCCATCAACATTGCTGATCCCAGCAGTATGCAGGACGCGTGTCATATGAACTTCGTAATAGACCTCGCTCACAGTAGTCTCTGTGGCTCAGTGGTAGAGCATCAGAGCACGGAATCCGAAGGTCTGAGGTTCGATTCCTTATGGGGAATCAGAACTTTTTCTTTGTCCCACGCTCGTGACAAGACGAAAAAACATTCTCAGGAGCCAATGGGCTGATTGTGACTGATCCATGTGGTTCCAATTCATCTGCAGGTTCGGAGATAACTGTATTTGATGGGAGAATTTTTCATAACCGTATAAATATGGTTTACTATATGCCATGAAATTTTTAGAACAGGTTTTGTCCGTACGCCTTTGCCAGAATTTTCCACCCATTAGGAAAACAAAGTACCTTCGAGGTAATGCCATTTCTCATTACGTAATGCACGAGGTGCGTTTTTTCCAACTTAAAATACAAGCAATTTAACTCCTCAGCTTATTGTCAGTCGGCGGGTAAGTTGATAACAACCTAGCGCTCTATCAGGGTCTAGAATATGGGTTGACTCTCCTTTTAGATCATTTTAACATTATCCTCTTAAAAAACTTCGATTACATTGCGGTGTCCCTTTAAGTTCTGTTCGTTTTCAGGGACGGCAGGAAAAGGCAATCAAAAGGGCAACCATTTGTGCAAATTGAAGAGCGTATGCTGGGATGGCGTACGCTTATCATCGATTGGCCCCATTTTCCTCGAAATCTGAAAACGCTACCACAATTTAATTTGTTATACGCTAGAAAGAAAGAAATATGAGGTATTTAACTCTCATTGTAACTAGAAATAATAATTGATAACACTGTATTATTATTATTATTATTATTATTATTATCATTATCATTAATCTTGAGCATGAAAAATAGGAGCCAAAAAACGAGGGTTGCTACGCCATCGTGTATTTGAAGCTGACAACGAGGACTGAAGGTTTTTTCAGAGAAAATCATGGTGTCTACCCTCATTTTAACCCACTGGTTAAATATCGATTCGCCAATAAGGATAAAAATATGGTTTTTCTCTGAGCTTGTGTTGGCTTTGTTCCAGTGTTAACATAAAAAAAATTAAAAACCAATAAGAAACTTGGTGTACTATAATCTACATTTTCCGATTTAATTCCAAAAACGTACTGAGAGAATTAATCTTGTCCTAGTCAACTAATCAGTTTACGTCAACATAATCATACTCAGGAAGGAAGGAGGAAGGCGAAAGGCGATGAAGGTTATTGGGACTTATTTAAAATGACACAAATAAAAAATTTGGTCTACGGATGCACTGAATATATGGGTAGCTTCTTCAAAGAAGACTGTGTCCCAGTGTCACTCAATAGCCAGAAAAACGATCTCACCTCAGTCAGCCAGACATGTTTTTCCCTCCGAGTTTTCTCTCTCTTTGGCAGAACTTTCGTTCTTTATAGCAGAGCCTTCGCTCGTAATAGCGGAATCTTCGCTTGTTATGACCGAACCTTCTGCATTCATGGCAGATCCTTTCTTTTTATCTCTTATTTTCAACATGTTTAATGGATTACGTCCGATAAGTTCAACAGAAAGTCCAAAAATGAGACAAGAAAGACCAGATACTGTACAAACGGCGTCACGTTCATATTGAGTATGGGTAAAATAACGTTTTGTACCTTTGCAGGAGATATTTTTAATTTGTTTTGACCACAAGCTTTAAAATTTATGCAAAGGCGGGGTTTTTTAAAACATGGAAGCCGTTATGTGCACATTTCAAATCGAACACGAACCGGGGGAGGGTGCATTCGTTTCAATTAGATAGAAAGGCTGTGGGGAAGGGGTTTCTGAGTTTCAAATACTTCAACTCCGTATATATCTTTGGTATATATGTACTTTCCTTGTAGTTTGGGGTACTTTTTATCTACATTTAATAAATCAAAACAAAACTCAAACGTCTTGCAGTAGCAAGAAGAGGGGAAAGTATCTTCAATACATTTCATTTTTTCTTTTGCAATGTTTGTAGTCTTCGATTAAATGCGTCAGTTGCAGCTTTCCTTATTGTTTTCCCTACCGCAGCCCTTGAAGCCCCTTTCTCTATATACCTTTAGCCTGAGAACGTCAAACTTTTTAGAGGTGCAGCTCTGAATACAGTTTATCCTAAGTACTCCCCCGTTCTCTTGACGAAAGGCATAGAAAGCAATATTTGGTAACCTCATAAAGATGTGTTATTAGAATGCCTTCTCCGTTGAGAGATATTCGTTTACTATAAACAGCAATTTTAAAGAATGTTCATGATTTCGAATAAGAGATTCATTTCCTACAGTGCATTGGTTAAAATTGCTAGAGAAGAAATGATATTTGAGTTTGCAATGACGTCTTCAACAGGAACCGGCAGCTAGACTCTTAAATTTTAATTCATTGAAATGCAAATTTTTAGTACCCTGTTTTGAATCATTAAAGCAGGCAACGCTTAAATCGTAACTGTTGTATGTTTTACCGTTCACACTGTGGTTTACCTTTTTTAAAATAGAAAGGCCACTTTCTCGATGAGAATTGCAAAATTGTGTGATTCCGTTGACATGTCACTTCAACATAGACACTGTTTGCATTATTATTATTATCATCTTCGTTATAATCAATATTTGCTAGTTAAAAAAGATGAAAGACGATGAGAGGATTGGCCAGCCATATTATTGCGATTATTTTGTCTTGTTGAGTGCACTCAGTTAAGCTTTGTCAGGATTAAAACTAATTTGCGGGGGAAAAAAGGATCAAAAACTAATGAAATATGTTATCGGATAACCATCTCATTCTTCTTTGTCTTTCGATTTTAGTATCTCTACGAGCGTCTAATTTTGTTTTTTATTTATTTATTTATCCATTCGCGTTTTTTTTTTTACGGAGGTCTTTTCTCTCGCGCAACGCAATCCTATAGAAAACCCTTATGCTAACATTTTTAAAACTTAGTGGCGGTCAACGTGAGCCAGTCCGGATAAAGCCTCTCGGTTCTGCACTCGCGCAGCTTTGTCGACGCTTTTTGAAAAAACGTGAAATTTTAACGAGGAGGCCGACCGCTGCATGTTTTCCCTTTTTATTCCACTGGCTGGAAGGTTATGGCGCATGGATAGCTAAGATCAAATCACAAGAGGAATTATGTTACTAAGCAGAGCTACCTTAATGTCGGATTAAAATAAAAGGCACCAAAATAAAATACACCATTAGCAGCCGACTAACTTGCTACCTTGCCGGGACGCGTTGCAATTCGACATACGATTCGTGCGATATCGTTCGTTCGATCTTATTCGTTAGTGTGAAATTTAACGTGAAATTCTCCGCGGTAGATGATGATATAAATCTCACTTTATGGTTAGATGTTGACAGTTCTGATGCCTGTCAACCATCAGCCTTTGCACGTTTTGACAAAGACGGCCGACATCTATCGAAACCGCCCACATTTGAGTATGCCAAAAAGACTACCGGCTGCAGGGAAAGAGGTTATGTTAAATAGTTTGAGCTTATTCCAGCCTGATTACATTCTTCACATATGTATAGCTCTGCATCTCAAACTGATAGGGATTTGTTGCTGTTCCACGATTCTTTAAATTAAGGACCAATTTCATGCCTTTCTTCTATGGTTTTATGAACAAAAATGACTGCAGCAGCTGTGCAAGCGGAAAGATCCCTGATGTTTACTTGAGGATGCACCGGACTCAGTAAATTGTGAATAAAGATTTGCTACGAATTACAGAGACAATAACTCGTGTTTAACTAAACATCAATATAAAGGCTTCGAGATAAACCCTTTTACCTCAGAGATCTTATAAATAATTCTCATTACTGTCTATCATACAATTTTTATGGTAGTAATTTGGAGAAGTTGGTATTGGGTCAACTGATAATCCGCTTAAATTATATTTTCCCTATTCTCATTAGTTGTTTGTTTGATATTGTATTGAAATCGTAAGGAGAAAATGTGTCGTGGTCAGTCATGGGAGTTAAAGGGTTAAAGAGTCCTCACATTACCCTGGCGGGCCACTTAAGATATTAGGGCTCAACAACAAATAGAGCGAATCGTACATATTCACCATATGGACCACAGCCTTTATTGAATTCAAGCAATTTATAGATTTTCACAGAATACAATATTAATGATAGCGGCTAAAGCATCTACATCTCAATGTCGTCATTTAGGAATGAAATTATGCTTTAAGTTCAAGTTAGCTGTGTAGTCTTCAATGCAGTGAACCTATTTCTTTTGTTCCATTCCACATCTCAGCTCGCGGGCTCGTAAGCAAATTTCTCTCCGGTACTGTTGCTCACGTTTTGCCTACAAAGATTCAACCAACATAATCTTAAAATTTCTCTTCAAATTTATTCGAAAAAAAAGAAACAAAAAACAAGACCGTTAAGCTCTGATGAATATTTGGAGTAAAATGCACGAAAAGAACCGAATGACTTCTTCCTCCAATTCAACTATTTGGATAGTGACTTAACCTGACAAACCGAAGAGAAGATAGATTAAAAACCTGTACTTACCTCCTCCAAGCGTCTACGGATGTTCATTTTCATCATTTCAAAATTTCCAGCCTCTCCTTTATCTCCAACCTTTTCTGTTGGAGACTTTTTAGGCTTTTCCGTTGGAGATTTTTTAGGCTTTTTCTAAAAGAATTTAAAACGGCTTTTAGTGAATTGAACAACCAGGATCATTCAACAATGATATGAATGAAATGATAAAGAAAAAACATTACTGAAAGATTCCAGCTCATTTTGACATGACTCAATACATAGATAAGGTTTTTCTACGCTCACTAATAAGTGTTCCTTAGTGGAAATTCTCTTTTTGAAAAGAAAAACATTGCCATTCCTGATCGAACCACTCAGAAAATTCAACTTAAATTAAATATTAACACCATCTAAAACATTTTAGATGGATTGAAAACGAAAGAGATCTCTACTTATTCACGTACTTCTTTTCCATTGCAATGACCAGGCGCAAAGCAGGGACGATTAACTACGATGCCCTCAACTAACATCAAAGAAAGGAACAGAGCAAAAACACAAAGTGCTGTAGTCTTCATTTCGCTGACAAAAGTCTCAGTGAATGAAAAGTTCTGGTACATATATTAATCGCCGGCGATCCAAGATATGTGCAGCTGTATAGAAACGCTTTACCACCTCAGCTCGGAGAAAATTCACTACTTTCTCAGTCGACATTCTTCACAAAAATGCGTCAGTCAAAATGTGCTATAGTTTATTTGATAACAGGATTTTAATCAAACTGTTCAGTTTGCCTTATTGGCAGAAGTCAGTTCCACCATCCAAAAATATGCAAAACATATACTTCGCTGCATAAACTGAATAACCTTAGATAGATGTTTTGCGAAGACAAAGAAAGTCAATAAGGTGAAACCAACTGTGAGTAACATGACGAACGAGTTACGTCATTGGCTAAACGGCAGTTGAGGTCCTCTCGGCTGACTGCATCACGCTATTCTCTTGCTTTCCTGCATTTTACTGTTAGATTTCAGAAGGCTATGAAGGAGGCCATAATAACAACGCTGCTGACGGATTTTTTTGGTTCAAATAAATTGCACTATTTAATGTTCAAACTCATGTGCTTCTAATGTTCGATTTTGTTGCTTCCCGAAATATATATGAGACCCTGAAGGGTTTTCGCGCTGACTTATATACTTCCGTTTATTTCAAGTTTTCATAGGCTATTGTCAAAGAACATTGTTGCTGACTTTCTATGAGGGTATTTTCTAGATGTCGCGATCAGAAATGATTTCTCGTCTCTTTCTTGATCAAAGTGAATTTCATGACCGGGAAGGGTTGCGGAACATTTTGGGTTTGTTTACGCGCTTGTTGTGACAGAATTAACTGAAGATTGGCGGCAAGGCTGTAAAATACCTACTTCGAAACACAGCTGTCGGGCCTTTTTCATTTGCCTTTATTTTCAAAGTTAAGGCTACTTTTGTTTAAAAGGGTGTAGAAATAAAAATCCGCCGCTGTCATTAAGTCTAGCAACTTCTTTATATATTACTGCGACATTAACTTTTAAGAACAGTTTTAAGAGTTTATTTTTTCATATAGCTTTTGAGCTCTCTGGAAATGTATAGATAGATAAAAGTTATTTTCTAGGCGCCAGTGCGAAAGAGCGCGTTTCTTATGCTGTCAAACTTACAATCCACCTACGATGATTTCCTAACTTTTTTTCCTCCGCGAAAATCTATCTACATATCAATTCTGAATGCTATCAGTTATAGAATAGTGTGACTAGATCGTAAAAGTCATGATTTGCACTGATGGAATGAATAATTAATTTGGCATTAAACATCTTTTATTTCTTTCTTCTCTGTTCTAATTTTGATTTTATCATTTTGTTTCTCAGCAAATTTGACTGCTTTGCAAAATAACGATTTCTGCTAGTAGCTAAATATTTTTCCACTCGTTTCTTCAGCTATACGATTTTCATTTAACCAGGTGCAGTTCGCATCAGCATCTTTTAGTGAAGTTCTTCCTCTCACGCAAATGAGACCCCTTAAATATAGAAACTTTCGAAAAACTTTTCGTTGGAAACTAGCCTTCAAAACGTAGTCATTTCAAGCTGTTTTGTATCGCGGCCGAATGTAATTGGTTGGAGCTTGAGTTACCGCTCAATATTTACCTGGGACTTCTCAAAGAAACTTATTCAAAGTAATTTTTAACATTCTTCGACGAACAAAAAATTTTAAGATTTTGAAGATTATTATTATGGTGATTAACTCCTTTTGAGCTACCTCTACAGAAAGAGAAAAAAATTGAATACCCTAGGAAGTGTTAAAATCTAGCATGCGCACGAGGAATATAGCCTTATGTCATATCTGCAAGGAAATAAAAGAACGTTACTCGAGAATCTGGTGGTAACCTGAATACGCTATTTTGGCGAAAATAGATAAAGCTGGTCATACGAAATTTACATGTCTAGCGTATCTTATGCCTTCCTTTTTTTCGAAAAATTGCAAAGCTACAAGCTTGCATAATAAAAACCATTGCAAAAATTGAATACCCTTAGTGTTGAAATGTAACATGCGCACGAGGAATATAAACTTGTGTCATATTCGCAAGGAAATAAAAGAACGTTACTTGAGAATCTGGTGTTAACCTGAATACGCTAATATGGCGAAAATAGATAAAGCTGGTGACACGACAGATACATGTCTATCGTGTCTTATGCCATCCTTAGTTTTTTTGAAAATTTGCAAAGCTACAAGCTTCCATAACAAAAACCATTGCATCTCTCATGACGCCTTTCTACTTGGACACGTATCCCATGTAAGCTGAAAAGAGAAAATGAGATAAAAAAAAAAGATCAAAAATGAAGTAATAAAATGCTTGTTGTTTCCCCTCTGACAATACTTTTGTACACGGATGTTCATGAAGGTTGTCCGATGAATGATCTTTCACATGTACTAAATGGTAAAGTTACTCACACTTCAATGAGTTAAGGTATTTATGGTCCATTAGTATTGGCATTAACAGCTCGCTGTATTCCGAGCAACTACTCACGGTTTTTTTTTTCAGTTTTATTTCAAGAAGAGCAGCTCTGGGCCAATATGCTATGTGATAGAATAGAATTTAGAATTTCCTTTTGTTCTTTGGTTTATTAGTTGTTACCGGCTTGATACTTACTCAGCCGTTTGAGCTTTTGTTGTCCTTTGCGCAGTATTCAAAAAGGTGAAGAACTGGATAACGAGAATTTTACAAAGCGGAGTTCTTTTTAACGAATTTGTTAATAAGTCAAACAGAATCCCTTAGAATTTCAAATAAATTTGCAAATAAACTATCTAAAAGAAACCTGTCAAACACACACATTCTAATTCATGAAAACTGAATCGTTTGTTCCACGACATAGTCTCTTCTATGTAAGTGTCAGCTATCAGTTACAGATAGTGATCAACAGGTTAAAGCTGACACCACAATTGGTACTGACTCTATGTTGCGAGGTATTCTCTATCATTTCAGCCACAACCTTATAACCTAGAAGAATTAAAACACTCTCCATTTGATGCTTGATTTTGCATTTCGCTTCATCATTCTTTGCTGCAAAGTCGAGCACAATTTTGCATTCAATTTCACGCAATTCAGTTTTATGCCGCTATACAGCACGACGGTTGACATTTCATCCTGAAAACATTTGATCGGAACCTGACTGGTTCGCAAACTGCATGACGATGGAAGTGTTATAAGTAAGAGAAAAAAATGATATTTCTCAATGTCTTGAAAACCCTGCCCAGTGAAATTTGAGAAAATACCACAGAAAACAAGCTCAGTATTCTGTTAGCGTGTCTACATACCGGCCTGGCCGTTTAAAATTTTGCATCGCAAACTCAAATATAGTGAACGCACGTGTACGATGTGGTTACAAACCATATTGAATTCAAACATTTTATTTTCACGATAAACAATTCTGTAGCAGCTTAAACGTTTACAGAACACTAGACTCAATTCTTTTGTGCCATTTCACATTCCAGCTTACGGGCCTGTGAGTAAACATTTCTCTGGTACTGTCGCTCACGTTGCGCCTTAGGATTCAAGTTACAGAAATTAAAAATTCCGCATAAATTCTCTATCATATGACAAGGAAGTGCTGAGATGAATCTAAGGGTTCTGATTGGTTCTTAATCGGAAGTGGTTATTAACTGTGAATTTTTACTCTCGAAAACCAGCATATTCAAAATTTGCAATTAAAACTGTAAAGAAACAAGTCAACAAGTCACAGAACGATTGATTGCAATGCAGGACTACGAAAAAGAAGATCATTTACCAAGCAAATTTTATTATGATCTGGGAGCCTCTGAAAAAAGCAATGGCGAAAGCCAGGAGGCTATTTATGATTTTATCAAGAAAACTGAGCGAGTAAAAGCGAAGAAGATATAAAGTTTAATGATTAAAGCCTCTAATAGCGTGCAGCGGTATTGAGGTCATTGTGGATTGTATATACGAGACAAAACAAATTAAACAACAACAACAACAAACATTGAACGCTACTCTTCCACACGCCCAACCTCTTCCGAGCGTCTACAAATGTTCATCTTCGTCATTTCTAAGTTTTTTAGCTTCCCTTTCTTCGTCAGTTTCTGCAAAATTTTAAAAGGATGTTAGAGAAGCAACCTCGACTTTTTCTACGCCTATATATATATATATATATATATACTTATCCTGACTCGCCTCAAATCCCCTTTTTCCTTGCAGATCTTTGTGTCGATATATATGGCCATCTACTAACACCAAAGAAAGAAGCAATGCGATAACCAGTGCGATGCAGTTTTCATCTTTCTGGCAAAAACTTCAGTGCATGGTAAATTATCGTATATGCAAGGAGGTAAGTTTCTAAAGAAACTGTGGTGCTGCGTCGGTGGGAGAGTATAACATGGTAATTTAGTATTATCAACTGACTTGATAACGTAAATTGGCCACCGTAAAGAGTTTAAAAGCTGACGTTTCGAGCGTTAGCCTTTCGTCAGAGCTGTCATACTCTCCCACCGACGCAGCAACAAAGTTTCTTTAGAAACTTACCCCCTTTATTCATTTGTATATACGATAATTCACCGTGTACTGCAGCTTTTGTCGACAAGATGAAAACTGCGTCGCACTGGATTAGCCCTTCACTCTCCCCATCGTATACTGATACAAACTAAGACGAATGCAGCTGTTGAGTAGAGCTCTTCCCGCACAACTATAAGAAAATTTCTCAGTCATCAGTGAAAGTGCTATTTTTTACGAACATGTTGATACTCTGATCGTACATGTAATTATTTGCACTCATTGAGTGGATAACTCGTATAAAAACAGTAATAACATCTTGAGTTCTTACCTTTTATCCTTTATTTCTTTCGAACTTAATTTATTTTCATTCTTCTTCTTCTGGTGCTTCTCCCGGTTTGCAAACCTCGAGTGATATTTTCACATAACAACTACTATTAGATCAGCACTATGTCTGGTACTTTTTTGAATTAATTTTTTTTATTCTCATTCAGTTCCCTCTTGTATGACATACACAAACTGTGTGCAGCTCTCATTAGCAATTTTTTCATGAAGCTCTTACTCTCCCGTTCACACAATCAATAGCATCTAGACAATTCGTATTCGCTAAAATCTACGGACATTACACGTAGCAAGAGTGTTAAGTTTTATCTTGTGGCTGCATACCGTGGCCGATTTTGCTTCGGTGGACCCTGGAAAATCGTTCTGTGTTTGCTTAAGACTGCTCAAAGTAACTCAGTTAGGGGAATCTTGTTATAATCACCGAAAATATATAACAAAAAAGACATCGTGTTAATAACACCTGAAAAAAAATTGATGGGAACGAAATATTTACTGACAGGAGGAAGACGTGTTTCGCAACTGACGCCATTTCAGTATTCAGATTTTTTCAATTTTGAAGTATTTCAGTCTCTGATTTCTGTGTAGACAGACAATTTATTTGGAGTAAAAACGAGATTTCAGAAAACGCAAAAGCTTTCGTGATTTCCACATACTTGAATACGTAGCTCTTGACAACAAAAAGGAAAAATAGATACGAACTGATAGGAAACTTGTAACCCAATTGATACATATTTAAATTTTTCTTCTCTTTTTTTTGCGATCAGAGCGTTCTGTGGACTGATGTAAAATCGGCTTGTCGATCAAATGATATTCCTTTTGAACTAAAATGTACATTTTCTGACGCTGCGAGTAATTTAAGGGTCATCTTTAATAGCTCAATATTCATGATCCACGTGGGGTTGCTGATTCCGATACTGAAGTATAAAATTTCAAGACCTCCTAAATTCCAACCATCGCCTTATCGTAACAGTTTCGTATTCAGTTCCCTTTTATCCCGCACTCAGACCCAGTCCATGTCGCATGTTCGTCTCTAGTTCCCCAAGCAAAAATCGCTCTTCCCTCATTACTTTAACTTTATCTCAAGAAGAACTGCCTTAGTGCATTGACTAGGTGATCTTTCAGTGGTAATTAAAAGCGTTTCTTTCTTTAGGATGGTTGGATCATTAGGTGCTTCCGTGAAACAAACGCGGCAGTATCTTTGTGTTGTTATTCTTTTTGTTTCTAAGTGGCCAGACCACCAAAGCGGTTTGATGCCTCACAACACACAAGCCTGAAGGGCTCAATTGAAGATTTCATATGAAGTCGAGCTCATTTCAGGAATTAATTCCCAGTTAAACAGAAATACTCTTCAAGTATTTCATGCACTTATTAGCGTAGTTGGAGGGAAACTGTTAGATATTTGCATTAAATCGTTTGTCTAACGACATAGGAGCTCTCTGAGTGGACCACTGGAAAGTTCTGAAGGCCTTATCTTTCAAAATGAGACTTTTATTAGCGCAAAACCTTTCACGTGATAAATTTCCATTTCATTAAGTGTCTGATTTTCATTGTAAGCTGAAGCTTTTTATTGAGCAGCGAGCCTTTCACAAGTGAGATTTTCGCTCAATTACAGATGAAGGTGTATCGAAGCAAATCTAAAAGTGAAGCGTATTACAAAGTGAAAGGAATTGTCAAGCCAGCTTATCATTATTCAGCCCGTTAATCACAAAACTACATACAAATTATCTTCATTTATTTCCTTTGGGTCATTCGTAAAACTTTTAATAACATCTTTATCTGGCCATGTAAACCTGTTTATTTTCTCCCCACAACATGACGTTTGAATCGCGTCTATTACAGTCTCCCATCGTGTTCTTGTTCGTCTCCTATCTTTTTAAGAGAATGTCCCCACTGAGCTGTTTTAGCACCATCGTCCTATAACAGATTCTGTTTTTCCCCGCCTTCATTCACGGTGCGGCTTTCGGCAGATTGCCTAAAACACAAATATAAAAAGACCAAACAGAAACTAAACAAACAGTCAAATAAACACGAGGATTGTTAGGAAAATCATTCAGTCGTGGAAATCATTAAGATAAGAAGTAGATGCAGTATTAACTGTGTGAAATGCCCAATATAAGCTTTCAGGAACAAAGCATGAACAAACGAACAGAATTTGAAACGAGTTTCAGACTTTAAAAATCTTTAAAAATCCACAGCTTATGAATCAGTGATTACGTTAATACGGTCCTAACCAGATTATCACTTTTCATTATCAAAAATGTGCAGCTGACTAGTCATACGAATTGGCTCTCGCATCGTAATGAAAAAATGTAAAATGGTTTCCGTGTTTACATAGCCTGATGTAAACACGCGGGAGGTTGGGAGAACACGAGATAAGCGTGGAAAACCACGACGCGAAGCGGAGTGGTTTCCAGCTTATCGAGTGTTCTCCTAACCTCCCAAGTGTTTACGTCAGGCTATGTGAACATGGAAACCATTTCACATTTCTTTTATAAAATAACTAGTGAAAGAGGACGCCTTCCCTGCCCTTGTTGCTGAGTTGCTGACAAATAACTGCGACCTGTACTTTTTGACCGAAACTTGGCTTAAACCTATACATCCAACTCACATTGTCTGCCCCAACGGATTTTGTATGATTCGTAAAGATAGATTGGATCGTGGAGGAGGTGGCGTCGCTATTATTTGCAGAGGAGATTGGAAAATTGAACGGCTGGAGGGTCCTCTTTCCAGTGTTTTTGAATGTTTATGGCTAAGAGTTTCGACTCCCAATTCCGTCTATTATGCATGTGTTGTTTACCATCCTGATGAGTCCTTGTATGATCGAGAGGAACTGTTGGATTTTCTGACGGCTTCTTGCGAACATTTAATGGCTGTGAATCCGAATTGTACAATCGTTATTGCTGGGGATTTTAATCAGCTAAAATACAAGGATTTACTTTTACATGCTTCGCTGTCTCAGATGGTTAAAAAGCCGACCTGAGGAGTAAATATCCTGGATGTTTTTATGACTAATACTCCTTATCTGTGGGACAAGGTCAGGGTCTTTAAAAGTGCTATTAGGTCGAACCACAATATGGTTATTGTACGTCACGAATATCTGCTAAGGCTAAACGTAGCAGCATTTAGAGATGTTAGAGAACATCGAAAAATTCAAATGGCTCATCTGCTTGAGAGTCATGATTGGCGGGAGGTTTTTTCTGTCACTGATTGTGAATTGAAGTGTGATGGGCTATCTAACACCCTTTGGACCATGTTTAATGAGTGTTTCCCGCTGATTTCTGTTCGTATATCCTCAAGAGATCCTCCTTTCATTTCACCATTGGTTAAACATCTTTTGAAATTTAGGAATAGGTTGCTAAGGAGATCTAAACGGCTTCCTGTTGGCCTTGAGGACAGAATCAACCATCTTATTAGGGAAAATCAACGACATGCTGTCATGCAGGATTCTTGTATGTCTGGTAGGGGCTCGCGTGCCTGGTGGTCTACTGTCAATACCATCACTGGAAGAGGTACTGAGCCCAGTTGATAAGCTCAGTTATTCACCCAGACATCATCAATAAATTCTTTTGTAGCATATCCTCTGACCCTGAATATATAGCCCCTGCACCAATTAGTATTCCTAATGGTGCAAGAATACCTAAAATACCTCTTCAGGTTGTTACGAGTTTTCTCTCTAGGCTTAAGAGGACTGCTAGTGGCCCGGATGAGCTCCCATACTGGCTTTTTAGAGATTTCGCCTATGATCTTGCCCCTGCTTTTACCGATGTGTTTAACAGCTCGCTGCGACAACATAAAGTACCATCCTCTTGGAAGATGGCAGACATCAAGCCTTTACCAAAGGAATCTCCATTAACTTGCTGTACCCAGCTTCTGCCAATTTCTTTAACTGCTGTTATCATGAGACTCTTTGAAAGATTGGTCTATAGGTTTGAGCTTTCCAATATTTGTAACGACTATATTGATTTTGATCAGTTTGCCTATCGTGGTGGCCATAATTCTACAATGGCTTTAATCAACTGCCAACATACATGGTTAAAGTGGCTCGATGGTAATGCTGATTTTGTTAGAATTTTTTCCTTTGACTTTAGTAAAGCGTTCGACTCTGTATCACATAATATTCTTTGTAGTAAATTGAAGCAAATTAATATTAATCCATATATTATTAATTGGCTTATTAGTTTTTTAGATCATAGGAAGCGGAGGGTTGTTGTCGATGGCTACAGTACTGAATATGTTTCTATAAATAGGGGCGTTCCCCAAGGTACAGTCCTGGGGCCGGTCCTGTTTTCTATTTTTATTAACGATATTAACGCTGTTAACACTGAATAATAAGAATCTTCTAGTTAAATTTGCTGATGACATAACTGTTAGTTTGCCGATTGAGGCAAATGTAGGCTTGGATGAATCTCAAACGGAGGTCTTATCCTTTATTGAATGGTCTGAGAAGAACCGCATGAAAGTCAATCTGACGAAAACATGGGAACTTCTTTTACGAGGTAGAACTACCAAGACGCCTCCTGAACCACTTGAGATTATAGGGAGGAAAGATAAGCTGAAATTATTGGGTGTTACCTTTGAGCAAGTGCCAGTTAATTGGGATACTCATATTGATTATTTACTGAGTAAGGCTAGCAGTAGGTTGTACATTTTAAGAATATGTAAATATTATGGATACTCTAAGGAGAATTTGGACTTACTTTTTCAAAGTTTGATCCTTTCTGTTTTTACATATGCTATTGAGGTCTGGGGGTGTGCTTTTTATAGTAAATATTAAAGTAGTATTGATAAGCTCTTTGCCAGGTGTTATAAGTTAGGTTACTGCTTAAAGCAGCATAGTATCTTGGATATTCGTCATGATAGAGATATGAAATTATGGCGAAGGATCTCTTCCACGAACACTGCCTTGAGGGATCTAGCTTTTACCTCCCCAGAGGACACGGCAGTTGAGAAGTAGGTCGCATAATTATATTCTACCTAAGGATCAGACAAGTCGTTTTAAATCAGTGTTTATCAATAGATGTCTTTTTAATTGCAATTAATCATTATTTCTTCATGTAAATTGTTGCACGTCTGTTTGCGCCATGAATTCTTAATAAAGACCTTTATTATTATTATTATTATTATTATTATTATTATTATTATTAGGAACGAAAACCGTGTTTACATACGCTCATGTAAAATGGTTTTATGGCCAATCAGAGCGCGCGTACTATTTGAATTATTTTATAATGAGTAGTATTGTATATACCTATCATACTGAATTTAAACTGCGAAAAAATAATCTGAGGTCATGTCGCTTTCTATAGAAGAGCATGATTCAGCAATAAGTATTCCATACTCAAGTTTCGATCAAAGCATAATATCCTGACTTTAGGCTTTTTTGGTATTTTTCGGTGTATTCGTACTGTGTGTAATCTATCCTCTCTTGATAAACACGCGGCAGAATTCTCTCTTCTTCTTCTTTTTATTCTCCTGGCCGAATTTGACCGCTTTCTTTGCGCGATGAAAAAAGATTCGTTTTTTTATTAATGTGTAAAACTTAAAGGGAAAGTTTACGCTATGAATAAAGGAAATTTTGTTTATCAGAATTGTTTTGACGATCATAGATTTATCAAAAATATCGCACTCTATAATAAAGTTTAATCCAAATAAAGGAAATGCTTTATTCTGTTTTTTTCTTTCTTTCTTTTTTTTTTTTGCATGCTTTCCCGTTATTAGAACATTTTATAAGAAACTCTGAAAAGCAAGACCTCTAGATGCTGTTGTCTTAAAAATACCAAAACTCAGGATGTTCGAACTGCAAACATGTAGCGCCAAGCTGAGGGCAATTAAATGGGAGATTTAAAATTATACCATTGCATCCTCGTTTGCTGTTTATCACGCAACCATCGAATAAAGCCAAATAAAAATTATGATTACAACTTCCAAAACTGTTAATGTTTACGCAGTGTGTTAAACAGTTCGGGCCATAACCATTTCTGGATATCGGTTTCGAGCTTTGTGATTGGGTGAGATCAAAACCAAAACAAAGCAAATTTGGCCGAGAGGTGCTGGAAACAAGAAGAAGCTGATTTTTCTTTTTTTTTTTGTGGCGGCCATGTTGTAATGCGGTACTAAGCTGAAACAAAATTCGCTAATAAGGACTGGACGTAAGATACCATTAAAAATATTCGTTTATTTCAAACGTTCAACATGCATGTCCTCGACATTCTCGCATTCTGGAAGAGTAAAGCGGATTCTTTCTAGCACAAATTTTTTGTAACGCTTTGGTCTTTCCACCAAGAGCGTCACAGGAATAAAAGCTCCTCCGCCAGCCTGTTTGTATCTGGAGAACTTCTGGGTAGAGCTTGGCCTCGATGTTGGTGTCCGTTCTCCGTTGATTTCCCTATTTTGGGTTACAAGAAAACCAATTAAATAAGGTCGAACCAATTAACGCGCACTGATAACAATTGGGACGAGTGAGGTGTGAGATCGCGGAATCGGGACAATTTCATTTCTCTCCAGTATAGGTCGAGGAAAGACAATATCTTGCTTCTCTCCGATTTTTAAATAGACATTATCAATTTCAGTCCATCAAGCCTTTACGAAAAAGTAACAGTAAAGCAAGAAAACAGTAACTTACCCTTCAATTCCTGGTTATTTTGCCACATCGAAGCAAAGCATGCAGCTGTACGTTTAGAAAGTGCTGAACCGTGCCGATCTGCTGCCCTTTGACATCTCCTAAAGTGTATGTCTTTCTCTGCGATTTGCTGAAAATCTGGACTTCTCTTAGAGCCTCTGGAATGCGTTCCATTTCTCGTGGAAGAAGACAAGCCAGTGCATACGAGTCATAAGTGTTGTCGTCTTCACTTTGAATAACAAGCGGTTTTCCACGTGGAGCTTTGATCTTGAAATTATGATACCTGGAAAATAAACGCCAATAAATACATGAGTGGGTTAAAATAAAATCAAGTAGTCACAATCTATATTAAGACGAATACACATGATCGAATTCAATGCAAGAGAATCATTCAAGGTATTTTGCGCGCTATTGATCGATTCGCGGGAGAATCTAGGTCTCAGAACACCACAAATTCGG